AGACAAGATCGAGTTGTAAGTACTTGAAAGCGTAGCTCACTGTGCGCTAGAGCTCGGCGTTTCACAAATCTTTGCGCCATGTCTATCCCCGACAGCCAACTTGTTTCAAAGTTGGTACCCCCAGACAATTAAAGCACAGAAACTTGTGAACAATGGGGAACCTTAGCACACAGCTTTTGATCAGACGTTTTTTTTCAGGATCTTGTATATTAGTTCAGTTTACTGACCGGATCCCCCAATTTTAAATGACAGCTCTGTGAGCACATCGAGGCCAACCGCCTTGAGTCGGTCTTTCATTTTGACCACTTTGGGGTGTTGGCCAACGCTTTCAGAATCAGAAGTCTCAATCTCGTCAGCAATGCTGTCCACATAGCATGCCTCAGCAGCGAAAGAACAGGTTACTTAAGCCAGGATAGGCTATAAACATATATAAACATTTGCAAACCAGTACATGTTGTCCTTAGTTTTGGAAATAATGATTCTTTATTGATGTTTCATTTCTACTTGCTACAGAATCAAAAACAGTGCCTTAATCTTTGCTGGGTCAGAACTTTGCTGGGTCAGAACTTGAACCATGCATGCCTGAGTCATGAGTTGAAGTAACGAATGGACTGAACAACCAAAAACGCAAGTGCAATCGGAGTGCCAATAGCTCAGCTATCTTCAAAGCAACTGCCATTTGCACCGACCAGTTCAACCCGAACAAGGGAAGGCGGTAGTATGCAAAGTCACTTTTATCTCGTCTGGAGTGCACCCCAACAGCCGCCCTGGTCCAGTAGATGTTGAGTCTGCACAGGCGGGTTTTGGTATTGCACACAGACCCTTTGAGTTCTTCTGTTGTCTTTGAGTCATCGGTGGCTTTCACAAACCCTTTGGCAGTAGCAAGCACGATATTGAACAAAGCCTCTTTTTTCAGGAAAGCTTTAGGTGCCTCCTGAATGACTTGGCTGATAGCCATGTCTGTGGTTGTCTTCTCTTTCTTCGTGGTCTTGGCCTTGCCAGCCTTCTTACTCTTGGCCTGGTCAGTTTCCTTGTCATTCTTTTTTTTCTTCTGATTGGACTTGATCACTTGCGATCCTGCCGATGTCTGTGTTTTCACCGGCCCCCTTTTGCCCTTTGGTTTGTCAGTGCTGCTTCCCTTGCCATTGTCATTGCGGGTGCTCTTGCTCTTGCTTGCTGTGTTGTCGATGCTGTCAACTTTCCTACACTTGTCAGCCTTTGTCTTTGCATACTTTGTTTTATTTGGTTCTGCGGTGATCTTCTGAAGGCTCTTTTGGCTATCTGCCCAAGCATAGTAGTCAGCATCACTTGCATAGGTAGCCCAAGTCTCAAGGTCCCACTCCTTCCAGGTCTCTCCAGCCTGTCCCCAATCCCAGGTCTCTCCTTCGGTCTTCCTTTCCTTCCTCTTGGCACTAGATTTGCGGGGTTCTGTCTGATCATCATTGGTCTCTGTTTCTTGTTTTTTTCCGGTGCCTCCTCTGCCCCGTCCACGTCCTCTACCCCTCCCACGGCCAGCGTCTTTGGCCTTGATCTCCAGCTGCTTCGCGCGGGTGTTCTTCGCAGTTGGTTCCTGCCCAAGGCAAAGATCGCTATTTAAATGTATGAGAGGAAACCCAAAATTTCAAAGCCCAAAACTCAAAAGATAACAGAAAGACAGAAGATAAATCTTTGAGCTTGAGATTTGAGACTTTGAAACCGAGCTTTACGAACAAAATATGTTACTTTGTTTTACTTGCTGTACGTTTGCTGGAAAACAAGTGCAAAACAAGAACAACCCCCTATGCTCCCACAGCCTCACTCTCGCTCTCGGTAAACTCACGTGTCTCATCAGTTTTGGAAACCGGTTTCGCTTGATACCTCTCCCGCTTTGAGTCTGCTGGCTCATCAGGGGAAGGTACCCGGTCGGGTGTGGGCACAGGTGGGCTGGCAGCCATGATGTCAACGGGTTGGGTTTCAACATTGTCTGCCACAGCGATGGGAGGTTCTCCTGGCAAGGCTGGCTCTCTGACAAGATTTTGTTTCTAACACATCATCAACCCTTTAGACATAATATGTTAAATCCTTGTCTGGGCTCTCTTGATGACCAGATTTCTTCACATGAAACTAATTGAAACTGTCAATTAAAAATCAAACAATGTTTGTGTTTTGAACTTGGCTGCGTGTCCTGGTTTCACATCAGCTCCTTCCGCTGCCTTTTGGGTCGATTCCTTCTGTTGTTCCCTCATGGCCTTCAGTCTTTTGATCCTGAAGTGGGGAAGCAAAACGTGCACACATAACTGACAGGCAGCGCATCATCTATTGTATCATTTTTTGATATTTTTTGAATCTGATAATGCGCCCCCAGATGTCAAAAAAACTTACACATTTTTAAAGAGGTTTTGCTCCAGGTGTTTAATCTCAGGGGCTAATGCCTAAATTACTGAAAATTAATTGTATAATTTCACACTTCTACCCTACCTGCCCTCACCAAAGTACTAGTCTTTTGACATTCAAGTTTAACCATAATTTCCCATACCGCAGGAATAGGCAAGATGCTCTTCCAGCTTTTTGATGATTTTTTCCCTCTGGCTTTGCAAGGTGTCCATGCTCTTCGTACCTAAGAGCTGGCTAGGATAAATGCTAAAAATGGGCAACTCACTTATGGATGGACACAGGGCTTGACATGTTATCCATAGCAAATCATTGATAATTTGGTATTAGTTTGAAGCTTCAAACATCGCAGCACATCCCAACAGTATCCAACACTGTCCTTTTCTACAAATCCTTCAAAGTTCTAATACATTGGTTGGTTTTAGCCTGTATCTATTTCAACAACTTTAGTGTTGTTTCAGGCACAAACTTGGAAAACACCTTGCGGCCTAACATCAAAGATATAGCCATTGGGCCGGTGGGAATTTAATGTATAGATGAGGAACTCTGCTGGTGCTTCGGCATATCTTTGGGTTTGGTTTCCAGCGGTAGCTGCGGACTTGCACTGGAACTGGGGGCTGCTGGTGCTTCTGGTTTCTTGGTGGTCGGTTCAGTCGTTGTCTCTACTTCAGTCTTCTTCTCTGTCTCAGTCGTTGTCTTTTCTTCAGTCTTCTTCTCTGTCTCTCCTTGATCTGTCCTATTGCTGTTGATCTCGTCATTCTGGTTGCTTTCAGGTTCCTTGTCACTGTCCGACTCCGATGAACTATCCACGAAAGCGTCTTCCTTGCTTTCATCTTCCGAGGATTCCTGATCAGTCACAACTTTATTGTTTATGTGTTTAAGGAATGGTCAACCCACTCTACGCAACATACATTGAGAGGGCACCTAGCAAGGTGGCATTGTCCAGGGTTGCCCAGCAATGGCCCACACCCCTGAACCGAACCGGTCCTCTACTTTTTTCTCCTTTCGCTTTCTGTTGATCTAATTCACTTTCTCCTTTCCAGTGGGATGTTGGATTCTATTCCCAAATACTGTATTCAAATCGAATATCATTTAATGAAACAACAATCCAAAAGAAACCCATATTCCTTTATGGATTAACATGGAACAGTGTAAATCATACAGCCATGCATTCACCAGAAAAGAAAAACAAAACACAACTCTGGGGCACCAAAAATAACATGTCCTCACACAACCAACCAAAAATAACAACAAATACAAGTTGGAACAAAATGAAGCAATGGTTGTTTCTTTGGATGTTTCGGCTTTCACAAACCACCCGTTCAATCATACAAAGGCTCCTGCAAGGCCGGATTCAAAATCAGGCAAAGCTCTTGGAAGTCCGTGTTCTTAGTGAGTTGCAGTAAGCAACATCCCACTAAGCAACAACTCAACTGAATCCGGTTTGTGAATCAAATTGGCATTCTACCGTAAAACTAGTGTTCAAAGCACAAATTAGCTCCAATGCCATTGCTAAACACGTGTACATAATGTGTACATAATGTGTACATAATGTGTACATAATGTGTACATACATTGCACAGATCAGTGTACTTGCATCCGGGGTTCGGTGGATGGTTCACTTCTGCGAGCTTTGGTCTTGACAAAGCAAACCATGTAGCGAAGTCTCCAAGCCAACTTTCGCAGGTCAGTCCAAGCAGGCAGAGGGTGTCGCTTGCTCACCTTGTAAATGGTTTCCACCTCTGCGGTCAAGTCTTCAATTGGTGGATGAGGTTTTTTGTGAGAAGCGGACATTCTCACAACCATGGGGCCAACAACTTCCTGGTTAAGAACCACGGTCTTGATGTCTTCACCTTCCCCGCTTTCCGGGTGAAGCAGATCACCACCATCTCTGATCCGCTCTCTAACTACTTCATTCTCATCCCACTCCTTTGCCAGTCCTTTGACATTCATAAGGCCATCAGGATTAGTCCTTTTCTTTCCCATGGCTAGAAAGCGAACCCCAATCAAGCTAAACAGCTGTAGGGTCGACCGAGCGGTTGTGAGTGCACGTGAACCATATGTCACTAACCCTTATAAGCTTAAAGATTCAGACTCTGAGATCAACAGATTTATTTGTGCAATCCCAATCAGCACAAGCCCACTGCAGGACCACTGAGGATGCAGCACATGAGCTGCGCAATGAAGAAAAAAGCGATAGCGGGCATCATGCTGGGAGTTTGGTGCTGGATAGAGGGCAACCCGTGTGCCAAAGAACTGCTATTCTCATCTAAGCTTAAGTTTGGCATCATATGTTGGTTCCGATATCCAAAAGATTTCCAAATATTTCCAATTGGATCCAACTGGCAGCCACAATTTGAGCCTTCAAATGGGCCTGGCGAGGGAACCCCAGAATACCCGAGGTTTTCCTGAAGAAGTCGATGTATTCCTTAAAGATGGAGAATACCCGATGTATGTTGTCATACACGAGGATTTCTGCAGGTCTGGGTGCCCAAGGTATATAAATCCAATAAATCCATTAAAGTCGATGGATTCCCCTTAAACCCCATTAAATCACCGATAATCATTACATTTTGGTCCCAATGTTCCGCGGATCATTTCCCCGGGAGGACCCAAATGGGTCGGTTCAGGTTATGCCAGCGTCCTGGAAGATAAGACCAGAAAGATGCTGGAGTGGGAAGCTGAGAACTTTCAGATGTTCAGCTGGAGATTTAGCAAAGAAAGATATTCTGGGATTTCACATGTCAACATGTTTTATCAATAAACCAATAAACAATTAAGGTGGTTTATAGCCAAGAAAGCAACAGTAACCGCTAAATATGTGAAATACATTACAGATGAGGATTTAGCCAAGAAGAAGATGGTGTTTTTTTTTAAACCCACTTGAAGGTGACCCCTCCAATATCCTCCAATAGTGGTTGGTTTTATGGGTTGGTTGACCACCAACAACTAGCATATCAAACACATAACGGGGAACCAAACCATCTCTGGTTGAGGGGAGGTAGCTTTGGGGGCTGCTTGAATTCCCATGATCATGTTGGGAGTCTCCCAAGTTCTTCTCTTTTATTTTGTGCTGGGATTGAAAGCCATGGGCGTTTGGCATTGTTTGACCACCTATGTGTTTGGGTGAAACATGTTGGAAAACCATATCGACTTCTTACAAGTGGTTGCATTCCAAATGTGGAGTGAAACATCAGCAAAGCATGGTCTTCCCTTGACAAATACAGGGAAAGAAAGACTGATTGACATGAGGTTGAGCTTGTCCTCATTGATCCCTGGGTTTGACCTGCAATTTTGGGGAAGTGAGCATGAGGCAATCTGCAGCGCAAATCCGCAATAGTCATGTTAATGTCATCTTAGAAGTTCCTGAGTTCCAAATTGTTAACCTCGAAGAATCCAAGAAAAAACGACAGAAACTCCCAACATGATCCCCCAACGTACATGGACAGTTTAGTCCAAGAAATGATCAAACTTCATGGCCGCACCCATTTCTGCTTTGGAGCCTAATGCCATGTTGCTGCAAGGAAACAGTCCTCAAAGAGAAAGAAGTTGAGGGAGGCTACCCTTGGTTTTTTTCGTTTTTGCTGCGCCTGAACTCAACTGTCGCAAGAAAGTTAGGATGAACCCTGCAGTTGCGGATCTATTTCCACTGGATGGGCATCACTAACTTTTGATTCTGGTATGACTACCAGGGAGGTACAATGTGGTAAAACTAACAAAGAAAACATCCTTTTGAGGAATGAGCTCTGGTTTCTTATTGGGTTTGCACATTGATAATCTTCTTGCCAACCATACGCAGCCCGTCGCATTGAACCCGCCAGGACGAGCGCAAACAGAAGCAGCAAGAGAAGGTGGGACTGTTCACGGATGAGTGATCCAACATGATCCAACCTTTGTTCATAGTATGTCCACAACAGGCCTTTTGGGAAGGTGTTTCCATATCATCTTACGGCCTATGTGTGAGTCGCAGCACAAACGAATTGAGCACACATCGTGGGTGAAGCACAGCCATCTCACAACGACCCATTTTGTTCCCATCTTTGTCATGAGGACAAGCGAAAGGAGGAGAAGATGCGGAGTGCTATGCTCAGATGGTTGCATGGTCAAGGGTGTGTCACAGCTTAATGATTCAATGAAATTGTAGGACACTCCCCGTTCATAGCCTTTGCTTGGAGGGTCATTTGCATGTGGTCCGTTGCAAATGAACAGTTCTTGGCTTTTGCATCGTTTGGTTTGATGAATAAGCACTAAGTTTACATATGGGGACCTCCCAAGAAGTGGCGCAGGTCTGAGGAAAAATATCAAACAACCATGAACCACCTATAGAAGTAGTTCCACTGATCCAAAAATCACTTAAACTTCAACGCATTTCATACCACATGTTACCACATTTTTTCCCAGGTTCCTACCCCACATGCCCTCAGGTGAAGCTGCCAGGATGTCAGAAAAGATCCGAAAGATGGCAGAGAACGGTTGGAAACCCAGGAACGCCCAGGTATTTGTATAATTATGGTTTGCCTTGGCTGATTTAGAATGATTCAGATTTATAGATAATATATGATAATATGCCCATATAACTCCATATGGATAATGGCGATTTTCCATCGTTGTGTTAGATTATCGGATGGTAAGTGTGAAATATTAGTAATACATGATTATTTAGATCCGATAAATGCTATTGATGATGGCTTCTGAGGGTCCCATGTCACATTTCAACTCGATGTTTGTTTTATGTCGTGTAACCTTGGTTGTGGTTCAAGAACGGGGACGGAAATTGGAGGCACCTAGAATTTACCAATGAACATGGGGATAAGACCAACAAATAATCTCTTCAATTCATATTATGGTTGTTGCGTTCTTTACCCCAAATAGTAGCTACAAAAACGCGGCAACGCAGACGTAGCTGTTGCATGCAGGCTATGCACTTGGACCTAGTGGTTGGGTAAGCCGCCGGCTCAGCTTGGGTGGCACCAAGCATGACTGATCAGGGGCCAGGGGGTCATAATAAACATCAACAATACGTCCCAGTCATATGGGAACATCATGGACCATCCCAATCTATCCCAATCTCATAAACCTCGGGGATGGTCAAAAAAACATTTAAAAAAAACATAACATCAGACAAGTATCCAAACGCCCAGTCGGCGTTTTGGACAGTCCCTGCTGGGATTTTTCTGAGGAATGGACTGGCTGTCAAATCCTGCCGAGATTGGAGACCCAAATTTCCAGGCGCGCTCTGCACTGTGCGCAGCTGCGATGGGCTGTTTCCAAGCGACATTCCAAGCGACATCATCCCCGCCGTGCAAAAGTCAGCATGCAGCACCAGGTGGTTCAGGGCCCAAAGTCCAAAGAAGAGGAGGACACAGAAGATTTCTGATGATATATGGACAATTGTTATGATGATGACGATTAATTATGATATTTCCTATTATTTCCTGACGATTATATATAATGATGCTGCTGCTGCTGATGAAGATGATGATGATGCTGCTGATGATGATGATGATGATGCTGCTGCTGATGATGATGATGATGATGATGCTGCTGATGATGATGATGATGATGTTGACCATGACAATGACGATATATGGACAATAACGAATATGTCATATGTGTCCAGACATTGGACCACAAATCTAGAAGAGACATTGTACTCCTTGATTGATTTCGGGTCACCGGCCAGGACGAACCTGATGAAGGACCAGCATGCACCAGTTGATGATTCAGACTTGCGGTATGGCATGCCTTTTTTTTGGGGCACATTAATATTACATGTTTCCAGCTTGGTTTTTTTTCTGGAGGAAGCGTCGTCAGTGATGGTGACAACGATCTGGAGGTTGGAGGGTGCCAGGTTTGGATTCGCTGATGCCGTTGGATCAATTTTATCAATTTCTAGGGGTTCCAGGGGTGATGCAAAAAGATGGTGCAGCTAATTTAAAGAGTAGCCCTACCTTTTTTTTTGATGGTGATTAAATCAAAATTACAGAGTAGGCCTTCTTTTTTTGATGGTGATTGTGATTCTTTTTTTGATTAACTTTCCATTTTTGCTGCGAATTCCTACCCGAAAAATGTGAGTCAAACGTGCCAAAATGGAGGGGGCGGCTGCAAGCCTTCGTTGGATCCGCTGCTGGCGATCCACATTGAAATGACACCACTGGCTGTGTCTGAAAATTACGGGATGTTATCCTCCAACATCCCATGGTTTAGAATCATTTTCTTAGTAACATTGCCAATTGCTATTTTGTTTTATGATTATAATAGATATAGATATAGATATAAAGATATATATATATATATTACAATCATAAACAAAAATAGTTATATATACGTCTATATATACCCTATTTGTCAGACAATCTCGCGTTTCTTTTTTGTTTCTCCCCCCCCAAAAAAGGGGTGAAGCCCATTGGACCGGTTTTTAGGTGGTGGATCAGCGGCCACAGCGTGAAGAAGAGAAAGCGCCAGAGGTGGGGGCCTTTGGATGTGGAACATGGGGTACCCTCTGGTAAACATACAAAAAACTATGGAAAATCACCATTTTTAATGGGAAAATCAACTATTTCTATGGCTATTTTCAATAGCTATGTTAAATTACCAGAGGGTACCCAAAATAAATGGTAAGTTAATGGAAAACCATGGAAACACATCTGGAAAAACCATGACAATTTTTGAATGGATTTCAGGATGAGCCGAACAGCCGAAGCCATAAATTATTTGAATCACATATTTCGGATCAGAAGATCCAGTTCAGTTCAGTTCAATATTGAAGAATCTGCCAGATCATCAAGGTAATGTCAAACTTGTGTACCTACATTTGCCCCTCCCAAGAATCAACAATCAGCCCGTGATGTAAGTCGATTTGCTATCAACACCATGCGTACGTTGCGAGCCGGTCAGGCATGTCCCTTCGAGGATGTCCTGGCGGAACTCGATAAGAAGCAGATGGAGAGTGGCACGGCGAAAATGGGACGCAGCTCCTATGGGATCCGCCCAGAGGGGCCCGGTGAACTGAGAACCACTAGCTCCAGCAGCTGTTGGCTGTAGATCCTGTTCTGAACGATTGTCTGGTGATGGGTGTCTTGCATGATCGGTCGTGAGATTCCTCTTTTAATGCAGTTCAATAATATTATATACAACAAACATGGCGCAGCTTGATGGGATTAGTCTTCTTGATTCCCCCACCAATCGTCAAAAGTTCAGGATTTCAGTCCATAGTGAGATGAGATAAACTAGGATCAGCACCTCAAGGCAGCCACCGTTGCTGGGCATGTGGAGGATCCGAAGATTTAACGCCCAATCGCTAAGCCAAACGGAAAGAAAGTAAGGCACAGAATGCTGACGTCGATCCGAAAAATGAATTGTCTAACTTGGCACGCAGGCTGCAGGATCGAACAATATCGAACTTTTTTTGGGGAACAGTGGCTTCTTCCTAGGCATGGCCTCTGGGGCTCAAGCGGCAGATCTGGAGACAGTGCCCGGGGCACCCAGACGCAGCAGCTCGTGTTTGCACCGAACTGGGACCTACATCCGATCATGGCAACCATTCGAAGTAAGGCCTGTTTATATCTTGTCATGACAATAGATCTGACTGTTTTGACAGTTGGGAAAATACGGCACGGCATAGGTATATAATTAACTAAGACTGAGGAGGACCTAGTCTGAAGGCGATGGAGAGAGAGAGAGAGAGAGAGATAGGTGTATAAGTATAATGGTGTATAATGGTGTATAACCAGCCTTGCATATGCACTGCTCCAATATGCTTTTAAAACCAATTATGTTATATAGATAGGCAAAACGAAGTTGGAATCATGGAAGTGGCTGGAAGATGAAATCCCCGCCAATTTTGGATGGGATTCTGGATGAGATGAGATATGGAGGCTATGAAACCCCACTGCTACCTTGCCAGATGCTATAGCTGAGGCTTGACATAGTCGCAGCGGATGAAGAACGAGAGATGGCTGCTGCAGCTGCCGCAGAAGTGAGGCTCTGTGTCAATGACCTATAAGTGGGATGACTTCAAAGCCCTGAAATGTGGGTAAGACCATAATAAACCAATATAAACCATCCATTTGGGAATGGTTTATACCACCTATTTACGGTGATTTGGGATGGTTTACTATTGTTTTACCCACATTATATTAATTCCCCTATTGTTGGCCGAAGAAACCATCCTAGTTCGAGTATCCGCGCTGGGCGCGACAGGCAAGGCTACGAGAAACTTGGAGAGGTCGAAGAAGAGGAGGACGGGACAAACAAGCGGAGCCTTAAATCTAGCTTGTTCATGTGGTTTAATAACAGGAATGTCAGCATGGAGGCCTCAGGCCTTGACCAGGAATTATAATCTAATTATAATCTATAAAATTCATTAAAATTCAATAATATTCTATAACTCTATAATCATATAGTTTAATCAATTTTAATCATATAGTTGGAACGTGGTCAGTTAGCCAGGATGATGTGCCCCAAGACGCCACCGAGACGGCCACCAAAGTCCTGCGCGTGGCACGGAAGCGGAGGTGCGGGACCGGACCCCCGGTCCCGCAGCGGGACCGGACGGGGTTGGGTCAAAACCTATGGAAATCCCATGGTTTTTGAGGCTGAAGAACCAGAAATCCCATAGTAGAAATCCCATAGAAATCCCATAGAAATCCCACGGAAATCCCATGGAAATCCCATAGAAATAGAAATCCGAAATCCCCGCAATTTTAGGGTGAACAGGAAGGGTGGGTTTTCACCTGACCTAGTACTACCGTAGATGGACGATGAAATCAAATCCTTGCTGTATTGTTGTCAACCCCTGCACCCCTAAATTTCAATGTTGTTTTTGGGCTCCGCGCTTGGCACCGGTGGACAAAAAAAAATAAAACCCTGAACACAGAGGAAGCTAGATAGAGTTTTGTTCAAGATTGAAATTTGTGGTGGGGTTTTACTTGTTAGATGATTGTAGGGTTTGATTTTTTTTGTCCATCTACTGTAGTACTTATAATATTCCTGATCAGTTGTGATGATATTATATCATAATATCACAAGGGATGTTGATCTTTTGTGGGTCACAGATTCACAGATGCCAGATCGTGGGACTAGGGAAAAATTGACCCTTCTGAGATATCTAATGATATCTGTATATCTTACCGATAATAGATGACAGTTGGGACCAACACAGTGCATTATTTTTGGGACGTCAAGGGGGTTGAAATCATCAGCCCCGATAGAGATTCCATTGGCCCATCATAGATGGGTCAAGATGAAGATGGGAGGCTTGAAGGATGATCATGTCTCACTTTGTGAAGGATATTTCCATGATGCGTATATTTTGCTTCATGATCCATCTTGTCGTTTAAGGGTTGCAACCTGTTATAACAATTTATAACATGTTGTAACATGCCATCACATGTTATAAGATCTTACTAGCTTTCCCATTGGAAAAGCCCAAGAATCAGGGCTCAACAAGACAAGTGGTGGCACCAGTGGTGGCACCAGTGGTGGAGGCCTGATGCCAAGTTTGGAGAAGCGATTAATGAAGAAAGTGCGCTGAAGTATGGGAGCTCAGACGTTGGCGTTGAACCGTTTCTTTCCATAGAGGGCATACCTAAAGATCCATGGAATTCGAGCTGCAGACATGAGACGGCACCAAGGCCCTTCAACGATTTCATGGAAGAAAAACAGGAAGGATCCAACTCCTACGAGGAGAGTTTCGTTTACAGCACACTTGTGCTGTAGCTCCACAATTCATGAGAATTTTTAGATATCTGTTATCACAGTCCCCGTGGATAGGTGACAAATTAGGTGACTGCCAAACCCATTTGTTTGATTCGGAATGTGATTGAAAAGTGTGCTGCAGTGCTGATTTATACCCTTCTCTTCTGACTCTGTGCAATTGGTCCTCATCCAGCCTATGACAGAGCTAGAATATTTAGAATCATGTTCGAGCCTAGGGAAATGTGTGTGTGATTCTGCAACTATGTTCGCAGACGTTTGCATTTGTAGCTGAAGAGCACGGAAGTATGATATATATAGAAAAAAGTTATATATCTGTATTTTGCATCAATTTACTATATATGACTAAGCGTCATCTATTCATACCTATTCATGCGATTCATGTTTCTTGAACGAGGCCTTCGTAAGGAACCCGCAGGGGAAATCCTGGGGCACGGAAGATCCAGGAGCGGCAAGCGCGGTCAGCCGCCATCCAGGCAAAGTTGCAGGTTCCACTGCGGCCTGGGGCTGGGAGTACAACCATTTCTATTCCAACGTGATTAATGTGGCTAAAACATGCTAAAACAATGCCATAAACCACCCATTTGGGATGGTGGACATTCTATACCACATATATTAATGGTGATGAGTGGGGGATGGTTTATTGTTTTACCCACATTACTTGAATTGAAAAGCATGGTAGGACCTGGTTTTATTTTTATTTTTACCATTTGATATATCTACTTCGGCTTAGCATGTTGCAGGATGTTGCAGGCTTCAAACAGTACATGGTTTTGTTGGTATGCTTTTGAAGACATTTTGGAGCTTGACCTAGGACCTAGGTGTAGTTGTGTGTTTCTGTCGGACGTTTTGAAGGTAGGGCCACTGCCAGTGATCTTTTTTACTGCTGCGCTTGGCAGGCAGCACGAAACCGCATGTCCATTGTTCGCTACGAGCGGGGAAGCAACAACACTAATAGCTCACACCTCAGAAACGCTCCACAGACTGCCGCTGGGAAATTGTGTCTCAGCCACCTGGCACGGACTGCTCGTTTTTCTGGAGAGAAAAAGATCTAAGATCATCTAAGATCCAATTTTGTAGGTTCAAAGAATATCGACTCCAATACCAGACTGGATTGTAAGATTGTGACCTGATACGAACTGGGTTACTCCCATCCCTACCTCTCCCAGTTGCTATAGGCGCTCCGGCAGCGCGGGAGCAACGCAGTCAGAGCCGGGACCTTGGCGGCCGTGGGGACAACGAGTCTGATTGGCAACATGGAATGCCGACATAGAAATACAATAGAATAAAATAAGTAGTTAATGGGGATACAATGGGGATATAATGGGATATAATGGGGATAATGGATAAAAACCACTATGGGGACTTATTCATGTTTTATTTAGTTGCTTGGAACTGTTTGGAAAGGTTGCTTTTTCTCTCGAGGTATTGGCATGATTAGGCATCTTCAGCTTCCATGTTTATTTTCACTGGTGCGTGTTCGATGATTTTATGCGGTGCACCCATCTAGAGTATTCTAGAGTGGCCCCAGGTGCTCCAAAACCAAAGCCGAAGCCGCAACCAAGAGTGCCAGAGCGGCGTGACGTCGCAAACTTATCAAGAGACGGCAATTTGGGTCATGGCTGAGGCAAAGGTGGCGACCTTGGGGAAATGCACCAGACTGGTTAAACTGCAACTCACAGAGAAGTGACTTCCAAATGGAAAATCCTGGGACAACCAAGGGCAACGCTTACACTCTTACACCAAGTCATCTTTTTTACATTTTATAACAATTTATACCCTCTGGTAATTTAACATAGCTATGGAAAGATCCACCATTTTTACTGGGAAAACTCACTATAAATGGCAATTTTCAATAGCTATGTTAGTTTACCAGAGGGTAATCCACCAAACCTCTTTTTGGGGCATATCTCTAGTGAAATGTTGGACTTCTTGGACTACATTTTATAACATTTTATTATACATTTTAATACATTTTATAACTATAAGTCATCAAAAATGGGTGAAAAAGAACCATGGTTTTGCTGCCGCCATTCAGCTGCTCCGAACCCCTGCTGGATCCGAGACCCTCGGGTACCGGTTTGGGGTGGGCGGGAGCACTGCGATCGGCCCGGGGCTGTTGGTTTTTTGGGGCCCTGGAAATTTATTGGGACAGAAATCTCATAGATCACTTGCACAAGTCCCAGAAAAATCCAAGGATTCTCTTGGGTCATTACATATAATTACTGTAAGTGATGATAAATTAAAATCCCTGTCATTGTGGGATTTTGCCAGTTCGGTGGGATCCGGGCAGTTCGGGGAGCCTGATGGATTGCTGATGCGCAATGGGCAATTTGTAGCTTGGCTGCACGCTGGTGCTTCAAATGTGGGAGCTTGACTCCGAAATGCCTCGGTTTTGAGGCCATATGCATCAAGAAAAATTGAAATTGAACCAACAAACATGGGGGCCCAACCAAACCCTTTGGTAGCCAACAGAATTGTGCCGAAGTGAAGATCTGACTTCCCAACAAAATCTATATCCAAATTTGAGATATTGAATGCACCTTGCACCAGCAACATTCTGTAGGAGGTGTCCCGAAGTGCCGCCCCAACATCTGAGGATAATCCCAGGTGAGACCGAACTCTCCGGCCGGATCTACAAGGCGCGCGGGTCATTGATGGATCTTTATGGATTGCCAGGTTGCCATATGGGGGTTTCGTCAAATAGGGGTACTCGTACCCCCAAATCATCTTAATTTTAATATATTTTAATTGGATTTTCCAATACAAACTATCCATTGGGGGGTACTCCGACTTATGGAAACCTCCATATGTTTACTGAGATTGTGACCAAGCTTGGGCAGGGAAGTCTCCAGTCTCCAGATGTCTTTTTGGGTCTGGATCGAGGGATCAAGAGCCTCAGCTGTCAGGACTGGCTGGTCCACCATGAAATAGATGGCCGAGTTCCCCAACCCGCCGCTTGGCCGAAGACGAGCTATTAACTTATCATTATCGTCATTATCCTTATTCTCCCCCAAAAATAATTCCAAAAATATAGAAGTGTGGCTTAGATGTCGCACTTTTTAAAAATGTGTTGATGACTCCTTGAGATTTCGATTGATTTTGCCATGTGGATCCATAATATGGAAAGTTCCAGCACTTTCCCCACTGAGAAGGGGCACATCATTGGCCCAAGGTTTCTGATCCTCCGGTTGGCTTGAGAAGCTCGGCGTGACATCAGCCGGTGGTTTTACGATGGATCCCAAGCACTCTTGGAACTAGCAGGGATGTATCATGTTGATATCATTTTGACATATTATTTTTGACTTATATACATATATACATAATGTATATATTTGGGATGGTGTCATCATTTTAGCTGATAATATCTGATAGGTATATCCCTGTGTATTTCTATGATGCTCACAGGGAATGCTAAGGTTTTGAACCACAATTATGCTGGGGAATCAATGCTCAAACTTCATGCTCAGATATGTTGCTGTGGACTGCTGCCAGGAAATGTCAAAAACATGTGCTTTTTGAATGCGATCCTGCAGTGCCTCTACCACACGCCTATGCTTCGCAGAAATTTAGCTTTGGCCTGTGAGAGTGGGGGTGCCCAGCGTGGAAAGCGACCTGCTGAGTTTCTTTTTTTTGCCATTTTAAATCCAGGATAAATTGTATCAGTTGGGTAGCTTCAAATATGTGTTATTTCCATCCTTAGTCATTTGGACTGACGTGACAGATGCCCAATGACTGATATCTGATATCCTACCGGACTTTTAACATTGGCACATTGATACCAACCAGGTCGGTTTTTCAGCTACGAGGGGATGCCCAATTCAGTTTTCCCTGTTGATCCGATCAGACCAGTTCCTAGACATCACGGCCCCCCATAACCCACCAGAAATCCAATCTTTGGATCAATAGATCACCGTCAGAAGTGATATAACTTAAACAGTTCCCGCCGGCTATTTTCCCATTCAAATCACGTATCCTAGAATTTCTCCCAACCGATCCAACCTAAATCATCCACTACCCCCCATTGAGTATCGGGCAAATATATGTACATAAATATCCAATAAAAGGGCCACCCAACCATTCACCTTCATTCACCATCCGCCATCAGCCGCCAAATATCAACTAGATATCCGTTTGGCTATCCATTTGGATCCATTTGGCTCATGAAGTATCACATGAAATATCGCATTGTTTAGTGTAGGTAGTCTTTCTACTACGCCACCATTCAGCATCATCAATCCTTATTGAATATACATTAAAAATGCATCCGTTTAAATCCAATACATATTGGGTAGCACCGGTATCACCCATATCCAGTAGTATATCCAAAATTAAGCACCAACACCAGCCATCAACACCTTCAACCCACCGCAACATCATGCATTGGAATGCATCAGTCCATCAGTCCATCCGTCCATCCACCCATCCACCCATCCATCATTTAGACCATATATGAACATATTGATTGATTCATAATTATTGAATACCCATGTAACTCCACCAAAAATCAACAAAGTAGTAAACCCCCTTCAATAAAAGAATAAACATGAATAAGCAATTATGGAAAGACACTATTTTCCAAGAGTTTTTTGTATGAGTTGTTACTTTTGGTCAAACATGTCTATGGTTTTTTTCATGTTTTTTTCCCATCCAAATCCCCCAAAAAAAAGCCATGGAAATCCCAGGTGCCTTAGTGAAGGACCGCTGGTTGATCCAACTGCAGCAGCTCTTCGCCGAAATGGACGCCTCGCGGGTCCGCAAGGAGTTGATCACGGCCACAGAGATGGCAGCGTTGATCCGAGCCGCCTCCACCAACGGTGCCGTGGTTTTTGGGGGGGAAAATTCATGGAAAACGAGTGGAGGGAGATAGAAAATCAGAGAAAACCTGGGGGAAAATGGAGACTTACGATATATATATATATATATATGTGTGTGTATATAATGTATATATTTAGTTCATGAAATATTTGTTATACTTGTGTTTCAGATTTGAAGGGATTATGGATGGGAGATGGAGAAGTTTGCGGTGAATCAGAATAAATCAGACATATCATATATCATATCGTTAGAAGTCAAGGAAGGGATGGATCAATGACCGTGGGTCCATTTCAGTTTTTGTCCCGTTTCGGGGTACCGGGTACATTGGAATAAACCGGGATTCAAAAATCGCGGAGCCCTGGTATCAATGGAAATTCCAGGATCCTAAAATGGAGGTACTGTACCATATAAGGCCATATTTTCTGGGGATATTCCCTTACATAGGCCTTATATACTGTAGGCCTTATATATGGTAGCTACCTCCATTTTAGGATCCTGGAATTTCCATTGATCAGTCATTTGATTCGACCTGGGATGATCTGGGTATAGCTTCACCCACCGCTGAGGTGAATTTAAAGAAGGAGAGCAGGCAGATGCCCACGAGGCCTTCATGCTGCTAGTGTCCAGGCTGCTGGAAGGTTGCATCTCCTCCCGAGGCCGGCGGCGCCGGCGGCCCCTTGGGTATCCTTGGGTGTTGGAGACCGCTTCAGTGAGGGACAAGTGATATATGATGCGAAATAAGATGCTACCAGTCTATCCACTTAATGTAAAGATGTGATGTCGGTTTCTATCGACAAGATGTCCATTTGCATTGAATTATATACATATATTTATAACTATTTATATATATATATAACTATATATATACATCACTCAAGTCCCATGTCTATCCATGTTTGTCAAAGAGACACCTCCTTATTACACAGCACGCCTTGCAGCTGGATCTCATCATTTTCACCTCCATCCCACAGGACTCTCGCTCACAGAGAAGGAACAGATAGAGCAGAGCAGTTTGATCGGCGCCTTGGCAACCTCATGGGCCCTGCAAAAAAACCCTCAAAATCATCCGTTAGTTACAATGGAGCTGTGAAAAAGATATAGTAATTAGTGACTTTATTTAATTAGTGAGTCATTATCCCAAAGATGTACCAGTTGCAACGATCTGGGTGGTGTTTGAAGCAGCACGAGCAGCGACTACTCCTGAATCGCTCATTGTTGGGGTGGGTATCAAGCTGGTTTGAGCTCAAGAAACAGTCGGGCAAACTTGCGTGCTAGGGACCGTGGGAGTTTCATGGAGTTTCCACATTTGTATGGACACAACTTTGCCAAGTGCGCATGACCAAGTGTTTGTCTCTGGTGTGAATTGAGGCCACATTTTTGGTATGAGCTTGAGCCAGTCTGACACCAAGAATTAGCAAAATGGAAAACGAGAAGAAACAAAACCGCAGCTGAACAGAGACCTACGGCTGAGTGTAGATGTTCTCCAGCTATGTCCAGCTTGTTAGACTTGGTGAGAGGGATTTTTGTGCCGAGAAAAACATGGAAAACCCGTTTCCTCAGGTCTGTGAAATGCAAGAGCTGTGGGGACCAGTCCGTGCGCAGTCGCTCCGAGTATTGCTTTTGCGTCACCTGTCCAGTGGAAAGGGACCGGAGCAGCCTTGACGTGAAGGACGCCTCTTGTTCAGCTGCTGCGTCAGTGCGCTCTGCGATAGTTCAATGGCTGGGTGGTACTTCCCTGTAGATAAGAAAGAAGCTACAAGCCCAAATTATCCACAAGGAACATCAGCATGTCCCAGCAGATTTTTTGAACTTTTCACACCCATTCAGAGAAGTGTCGTGCTAGTTCTCCAGCTGGGAACCCCTTTAACGGAAGCTTTTCATGGCGGTCCCCACTGCCAGGACTTGTTGACAAACTACACCCAAGAGGAGCATATCAACGAGTGGAAATGCGACAAGTGTTCCAAAGCAGGCTGTGTGCGCCACGCAGGCATCCGGGACCCCCCCAATGTGTTGCTGGTCCACATCAGCCGCCTACAACGAGGGCTGGGCCCCACAGTCACATTTGAAAAGGAACTCACCGTCCAATGTGAAAGTCAGAAAGGCCAGAAGACCAGGAAGAAGGCCCGGCGAATTGATGGGCTGCTGGTTTGACCATGTTTGACACCACTATGAATGGCGATAAATGGTGGAGATTTACCAAGCCCACCTAACAGCATGGGTTGATGAACCCGATTGATTTTTATGCTTCTGGGTTGGAGATGGGGTGAAACCACAAACCAATTGTTTTGTCAGTTATTGTTTGTATAATGTGTGATTTCTTACCCATCGAAAGGAGAGAGTTTCCCATATGATAAAACCGCCGTAAGTGTTTCACTCAAAGGAAAAGGACATGATTGTGGAATGAATCATATCCCAGTCGTGCGGTCAACCCAATTAACCCAATTATCATGAACCCGATCATTTCGTTCATGGTTCAGAGAAGTTATTTATATGGTCATATATGGTCATATTGGGGATGGGAACAGCATGGCCTTCCCAACTTTTTTTTTTCGCCCAATCAGTGATGATGCTCGTGCAGGTGAAGTATAACCTCTTTGGAGTCATTGTCTACCGTTCCATGGGCTCCAATGGTGGTCATTACTTCGCCTTCGTCAAAACGGGCCGGGGACCAAAGGAACAATGGTACCTGGCCGATGACGACGATACCCGCAGCGTGTGTTGGCCGGAGGTCTTACGTGAAGAGCCGTTCATGCTCCTCAGCCATGCCCAGCTACTTTTGTCATCTTTTGTCCAGATGCTTCATGATTCTTTCTGCTCGGAGTGTTCAATATATTTACCATCCTTATACGCTTATACCTGGAATGATGATGAAGATGATGATTGGACGATGATCGATAATTTTGAATTGCGTGACACCACCAACCAATTTTCTCGATGGAGTAGGGTCATCAAAGGCGTGAACATAATGAAACACATGCCATCAATCACACACCACCAATGATGGAAACAGAACACCATGTAAAAGTGTTCGAGGTTCTGGTACTACTTGCTAGATCACAATAGTCCAATGATTGGTTTGATGGTTCGTCATTGGTGCCTCACTTTTGACCCACATCTGGGGCGGTTGTGAATTCCTGAGGCTGTTGTATGAAGCCGTCACGGTGATTCCGCCGCTGGTCACTGATCCTGCTCCTCGATTGAGAACTCAGTGGTTGTCCAAAATGGCCAGTTCCATGGGGAAATCGATCATCAGCCATCAGTTTGTTTTGGGGTACCATGGGGTCGCCTGTGGAAAAACCCAATTCACATCCGTTTCGGAGCAGCAGGCAGGTTGGGTACTTTTTTCTACCCAAGGAGCAGCGGGTGTTTGAAGAGGAAAAGATTCAGAAAGAAGTTCGCAAAAAGGCTGAGGCCCGGGGAACCATGGGGAACCTGTCCGTGACGCCTTGTCACATCTGGTCACTTATTGACCCTTTTAAAAAGGTGAACCCCGGTTGACCTTTGGATGAAGTCAGACCCACAGGCAGGGGAGATTTCCATAGATTTCCCCCATGTATCGTAATTACGTGTAATGATTTATCATGATTTATCATGGCAAATTCATCTTTCAGCAGGGTGTATTCATGTTTTTGGATGTGTGTTCCATTTTCCCGCTGTCGTTCGCCGTTGGTTTGATCATCTTGTTGCTTGACATCCCCTATTTTTCATTATTTTTCGATAAAGTTTGTTCTTGTTGTTGTTGCTGTTGGTGGTGGAGGTGGTGGTGGTAAGAGCATCATTTTGTTGCTTGCCACCTTCAACTTCTTGATAAAGGCAGGCATGTTTACAACCAGTGAAATCCCATGTGTTGTGGCTATTTTATTATAAATCATGTTAACTCTGAATTTTCCAAGGTAAAAAACCCAATGTTTGATGGTTAGATCATGTGAAGCCCCAAGTCCAACAGCCAAAAAGCCACAGGCGGAGGCTGCAGCGCGAGAAAAAGCGAGGCTCAAGGTGAAGAAGGCCGTTTTTTCTTAGCGACCGCAGCGACTGACCATAGCCATACATGAAAATTGTGGTTTAGTGGGACATGAATGGGAATATAGTGGAACATATCACTATATAGTTTTGATATGTTTTGATAGTTTGATCAATAGATATCAAAGGTTGGATTGTATAAGTATATCGGGGATGGTTATTAGTTCAATCATGCAGATTTATATGCCCATGATGCTTGGATTGCCATTATGGGATCTCAAACCATTGTGAATCACTTGGAGTGAAGTCCAACCATGAAAAGTTATCCCATTCCTCCAATATTAAACACCCTCATAAAGCCATGGTTCTTGGGGGTGTTAATGGGATCCAGTCAGCCCTTGGGCGCAAGGAAGAGGCGTTCGCCCTCTACCACCAACGACACCAGGTGGAGCTTGTGATGAGAAGGGTGGGATCGTTGAATTATCAACCCCAAAATGGATGGTTCGATAAGGTGGGTAAAACAATGTCATAAACCACCATTTGGGAATGGTTTATACCACCACCTATACGTATATTTATGGTGATGACTGGGGGATGGTTTATGACATTGTTTTAGCTACTACAAAAATTGCCACTTTGGATCCACACCCATATGGAAGTTGGTTGACTGAGAACATCTAAAACCATATGAATCTTGGGCCAAATGACCTAACTTGGCCGTTCCGCTGCTTTGTTGCAGGCCGACATCGAACGCTTGAGGCACAACCACTGGGTGCTAACAGCCATAGGTTGCATGAACGTGTGCTGTTTTTCTGGAGACTGTTGTGCCTAATCTGCTAAGATCTGCTAAGCATGACAATCCTGGTATATCCTGGTAAATTATTTTTAAAGGGGGGCCCTGAACAGTGTCTCCAGCCATTTCGTTGTTTGCTTATGTTTTGCATCATGGATCATATGATATTTCATGATATATAATGATATTATATGCATTGTCGCATTCGCCCAGGCAATCCGTCATGAGCTGGAATCCTGGCCAGAAGGCTGATGCCAAACAATTGGAGGATCCTTCACCGCCTGGTACAGAACTCTCCTCCACCACTGCAGGATCCGAGGCAGAAAGGGCGAAAATGGGCAGATGCCGAAAACCAATAGTCAACACGTGTCAATACGCCAGTCCTGAAACGAATGCTCTTAAAATATTATATATATATATATGATATAATATGATATAATATGTATGTTATATAATTAATTGTCTTTTAATCTCATATGTCATTTGCCGTACTGCTGGAATTGCAGTGCGACTCTGACGGGTACCAATTTTGGAACTGGAAAACAAAGAAAGAACAAAAGGACGCTTTCCAGAATCTATTTGCGAGTCCCTCTTGGGTTCAAAAATGTGCAACTATCATCATACATAATAAGTAAATGACAGTAAATATATCATAATATATCCAATTTACATATGTTTTCTTTCCCGGCGAAAATGGTGATGAACACGATATTATATGAGGCCATTAAAAGCCATGGGATGAACGGCCGTGGGAAGCCCACTCCAGCGGCAGGGGCGATGCTATCGGCATGAGGATAATGCCTGGTCGCCCCCTAGAGAAGTTGTGCGGAGGCGGAGTTGGCAGGAGGATTTCAGCAAGTGCCTGGGATTTTGGGATGGAGAATGGTCCAAATTGGGATGGGCCCCATAGATTCCTATAGAATATATATATATATATATGTACTTATATATATATATAACTTGTATTTTTTTATGTACATGTGTAGGATTTACTGGGTTAGGTTAGAATAACCTCATGTTTCATATGTTTCTCATTGAAATCATATGAAATTGGCAATAAATTGGGGGTATACGGTATAATACGGTTACACGCATCAGTCAGGACCTCGTCAGGAACCGTGTTTGTGCCCCAGCTATGCGGTTTCTGAGGTGGTCCCTATTTCACTCGTGTCAGTGCAGCGTTCCATCTGCTGAATACTCCGATGGCTTAGAAGACGATGCCATGCATTGCGCATAGTGACGTAATGTGACGTAGTCTTGCACAGCTCAGCTTGCAATGTTTCAAGAGCATGTGTCGAGCATTACCTTACCAGCCAAGTATTGTGCCGAAGCCGGATTCAGATACCTTAGTCAGAGAAACACCACTCCAGGATCCAGAAGGTGGTTCTATAGGAGCACATCCTGAACACATCATTCAGAACCTAAAAAATCCTATCGCACCAGTGCACCAGGTATTTCCAAACCCTCGGTGTAGAAAGATCCTGGGTTATCCCAGGACATTTGGCCGGTAGGAGTGCCCATTTTATGCATACCATCCCAATGCTTGCCTTCGAATGCCTGCTGTGGCCGATGCCTTTGCCCCCGTTGCTTGGGCACAGCTGTTGGATCCCGGGGCAGAGATGTAAACTTTGGCCATTGCAGCACATGGGACGACTGGCGAGTCAAATTCAGCACGACTGGCATCCAAAAAAAAAACCGCCCCCTTTGTCCAGCCGGGGGGCTCTTGCAAATGCAAGATCTCCTGTAACTGCCGCACTACTACATTTTTGGAAGAAAAAGTGACCTGGTGCTGTCCTCTTCACAATGCTGGAGATCGTAAGAGCTGACAACCATATATTGGGTAGTTCGTGGTGGTTCATTGATGTTCACATCTCTCATGATGTGATACTTGTGATGCCTTGAAGAACAGTTGGTTGATACCATCGATATCCCGATCTTTCTTTGGTGGCCCGCAAGGAGTTGCAACCTTGCATAACATGTTCCAACTTCCCATCACACTGAGGATAGATACCACAGACCTGGGCAATCTGGGTGGGGCTGCAGCCTGAGCTTAGCAGCACTTCCCCCGGAAAAAGCCCTAAAACACACCCCAGAAACTGTTGGGGGGGGTAGGGGACAGTAGGGGATGGGAATGTTTGAGATTAGCGGGATGGGATTACGAAGAAGTTGCCGTTGGCAACTGGGGCATGTTAGTTGGAGCTTTTTGGAGTTCTATTTCACTCACAACCATTGGACCATTGGCTAAGAACTTGAGATCCAGAGATCCAGGGATGCCAGGGATCATTTCACTAAGAACTTGAGAGTCTCAAGAGCTCAGGCTGGCTGCAGTCTGGATGACGTGGGCAATTTTGAAGCCGAGATCGGTCTCGGTCTGTGGCGCATACATGGCAAGCGACCGTCTGACGTGGCGCGGGCCCTTCCAGTTTCACCACTATCCAGTGGCGGCGTACTGTATTAGTTCGTGAAGCTTCCACCAGGCCAGGATTAGGAGATGATAAGGGCAGCCAGGTGTCAACCTAGGGGACCCACAAATCAACATAAATCAACGGTACCAGGGTTTTCAGGGGCTCAGGGGCCCCGTCCCCAACTTCAAAGATATGTCATGATATGTCCAAGTGACCCCTTGACTTCGACTTTGATGAGCTGGCAGCCACATAGGTCCGAAATATTTTAGGAAGGCGCGTCAGTCGCTTCATTTGAAAAGGTGCTGCAGCGCAGGAGATTCAGAGACAAGGCCCTGCATGATTATTGAAAACTCACTAGACTCAGGATCAATGGCAGGATCCGGAGGGCAGTTAACATCATTCAATATCTCAATGGAAGAACTCAACTTTTTCTGGGAGCAAATTTCGCGTGCACCGGCCATGAGCCATGATCCAAAATGATCCAAAATGCATCCCCTGTGCAGGGCTCAAGCAATGGGAGCCGCTGGCCCAAAATAGTGACTCCCGTGAATGGGGTCGTCTGAAAATATGGTGCCCCAAGATTTGATGGCTAAAGATGGCCACTTGGGAGTCCCATTTTAAGACATGCCCAAATAGCAATAGCTGGCAATAGCTTCAAGAGTCAGCCAAGGTCACCCCTACCGGAACTAGATCTACTATGATCTACTATGATCTCCATGATTTCCTGCATATGCCGGGCCAAAGTCAGAGCCATCGCGTTGGTCGCAGAACCCCCGGCCGCTGATGGCGGGAGCGTGAGCTCTCGATGCCTGGAATTCAAGGCTTGGCCCGTCTCGTGAGGGCAAAGGTGCTGGTGGCTTGTTACTTTGGCCCGTCTCGATATTTGGCAATGCAAAACCCATGGTTTATCTCCATGTCATCATTTATTCATGTTATTCATATTTTATGGAATCATACGCACCAATGTATAGAATGGTTGATTGATGTTGCTGGATGTTGATTGTAGATGTTTTTTTCAGGTGATCTTCCAATCCATGACCGCCCAGGCGACTTTGATTCATTGACCACCCGGCAGCTCCGCAAGGAATGCGCGTGAAGGCCTCAGTGACTTTTTTTTTTTGTTGGAGGCCCAGGACATCGTGGGAAAGATTGGGAAATCATGGGAATATCCTCCATGTTAATCCATGTGTTATCGTTTTTTTTGGTGTAAAGATACCCGCAAACACAATTTATAGATATTTATAGCTGGATCTATGGATGTCCTCTGTGGTATTTTTGCTGTGACCCCTGAGAAAATGTGCGAAATTGATGCGCCTGTGAGGTCCAGGGCCATTGACCTCACGGGTTGTTTCGACAAAGATGCCATTCTACAAAGGCACGCTGGTTTCTGTGGCAACATGGGGATAGGGTTTTGTTCGGTGGCATGCCATAAAATGTCATGGCGGATTGAGTTTAGATGATCGTTTCACAGAATTTGAATAGCTGCTTGCATCGCACAGACATCTTTCATGTACTTCTGTCTTTGCTGGGCTAGGCCCACTTTAGAATCAATGGTGCGAGCAGTGCAACTTTGCAGTTTTATCAGTGTCGCTGCCCAGACAACAAAAATGAGCTGGCACGTGGGGCACCACCCACATCGGGTGTTTAGAAGATTGAGACTTCGCAACATGCCGCAGTTCACTTTTCTGACAGAAGGAATTGACATGAAATCACCAGGATTCACCAGGATTCACCAGGCAAGAAGGTCTTCCCAAACAGCAGAACGAGAGTCTGCACATCCCACCAGGCTGCGCCAAGCCGTGACGAATGATCGGAGGCTATGTGAAACAGTGGTTTTTCATAGCCTGGTTGTTGGACCGCCGTTAAAACAAAATCAGGGAAAAGGCCTTGTTTCTCAAGAAGTTCCCAAATTGAGATTGCCACTGGGGGATAGGTCCAGTGCACATGAGTTGGGAGTTTTGGGCAAAACAACGTGCCGAAACTCATACATTGATATATATATATATATATAACTCATGTGGCTAATCCAACCAACGCCCCAAAAGTGCTTCAAACCGTGGACACATGAGATAGGACTGGTCCTTGAGAAAGCTGCATCTCATTATCTTAGAAGATTCTCATGAGTACCTGGTACAGTAGATGGGTTTCATCCGTTCAACTAAGATTTCCAGACACCAGGGCCCCCCAGTCACGTTTGGTTTCAAGGCGCGATGCGGCATGGAAACCCAGTTTGACGCGACCCCATGGCACTGGATTTCTTGATGGTGCACAGGATTTTCAAAGCCAAACCTCCCAAAATTGGATGCTTTCATTGACATAAATTATTGATACCATGCAACATGATTCACAGTCTTAAACAGCAAAAAGGTGGGAAAACCCGCGTGGGTTGTAAGGCTGGAAGTCACAGCGACGTGGCCTCGCAAAAGGACGGAGTAACAGATGGGAGAAAGGGATGTGCATCAAAAACAATTCATGTGGGACACATGTGAGGGGTCTTTGGAATCACTGGAAAATCTCGAAATCAAGGCCCTCTACACGTCTCAAGCTATTCGTTATACTGCCGGAGGCGCCATCAGAAGCACCCTGGCCGGGTGGTGAAAATGTAGAAGATGTTGCCCCATCGTATGGGCGGGTCTGGGCCCCAAGACCAGAGATATTCCAAGACCATAAAGACCATATGATCGCTATTGTCAAAGCATTGAGAAGGCCGTCCATGCTGGCAATTCTTACCATGCCAATCCATGTCCCATTTCAAGCCATTTCTACGTGTTGGATCATTTTGGTGTGTGATTGTTGCTTGCAGTGCCCACACCTTGAGGCTGCAAATGCTATACATGCACAAGGCGATGTTGGTGCATCACAGGCCACACAAAGAGACAACATGTTTAGACTGGGTTTGCATTTGAAGAATGTCTGATCTCAATATGTTCGCATGTTTTTGCATCTAATTTGGTTGCATGCCAGCATGTGGGCAGGAACCAGCAGCAGAAGCACCCCGGCTGGGCGGTGAACATGTAGAAGATGTTGCCCCATCGCATGAGCGGGTCTGGGCCCCAAGACCAGAGATATTCCAAGACCATATGATCGCATATGATCGCTATATATCGCTTTTGTCAAAGCATTGAGAAGGCCGTCCATGCTGGCAATTCCTACCATGCCAATCCATGATCCATTTTTAAATCATTTTGGATCCTTACCCTCTTAAAGATGATTTTTTCGGGGGAGTCGGACTGAAATTTCATTTTCTTTATTTTTCAATGATATTTTGAATGATCAATAGTTATTCCTCGTCATCCCATCTCACCGGCAAGCAAGTAAAAATAAACACTTGCGCTTAGCTCCGCAGGAGCCAAGCGCATGTCAGTCTGCAGCAGCACATGTTTAGGGGTGGCATCCCTCCAAAAATATCCTCCTCCGGAGCTGAGCGCGAGTATTTTCTCACCAGTGCTAAGAGATATCAATTGCTAACGGTCGCTTACATGCTTCCCGCAAGCTCAACTTGTAGTGCCAGAGGCTTGTTAAAAAATGACATGTTAATATTCCATTTGAGATATTTGAGGTGGTTGGATGGATCATCATCCCAGGGTTTCCAAGCCATAAAAAAAGGAATTCGAAATGTTGGTTTTGCCCCCCCCTGCCCTTCCCCTCTATAGGGGCAGGGATCATTTTGGTGTGAGATTGTTGCTTGCAGTGCCCACACCTTGAGGCTGCAGATGCTATACATGCACAAGGCGATGTTGGTGCATCACAGGCCACACAAAGAGACAACATGTTTAGACTGGTTTGCATTTGAAGAATGTCTGATCTCAATATGTTCGCATGTTTTTGCATCTAATTTGGTTGCATGCCAGCATGTGGGCAGGAACCAGCAGCAGAAGCACCCCGGCCGGGCGGTGAACATGTAAAAGATGTTGCCCCATCGCATGAGCGGGTCTGGGCCCCAAGACCAGAGATATTCCAAGACCATAAAGACCATATGATCGCTATTGTCAAAGCATTGAGAAGGCCGTCCATGCTGGCAATTCCCACATATTCCTACCATGCCAATCCATGTCCCATTTCAAGCCCATTTCTACGTGTTGGATCATTTTGGTGTGTGATTGTTGCTTGCAGTGCCCACACCTTGAGGCTGCAGATGCTATACATGCACAAGGCGATGTTGGTGCATCACAGGCCACACAAAGAGACAACATGTTTAGACTGGGTTTGCATTTGAAGAATGTCTGATCTCAATATGTTCGCATGTTTTTGCATCTAATTTGGTTGCATGCCAGCATGTGGGCAGGAACCAGCAGCAGAAGCACCCCGGCCGGGCGGTGAACATGTAAAAGATGTTGCCCCATCGCATGAGCGGGTCTGGGCCCCAAGACCAGAGATATTCCAAGACCATAAAGACCATATGATCGCTATTGTCAAAGCATTGAGAAGGCCGTCCATGCTGGCAATTCCCACATATTCCTACCATGCCAATCCATGTCCCATTTCAAGCCCATTTCTACGTGTTGGATCATTTTGGTGTGTGATTGTTGCTTGCAGTGCCCACACCTTGAGGCTGCAGATGCTATACATGCACAAGGCGATGTTGGTGCATCACAGGCCACACAAAGAGACAACATGTTTAGACTGGGTTTGCATTTGAAGAATGTCTGATCTCAATATGTTCGCATGTTTTTGCATCTAATTTGGTTGCATGCCAGCATGTGGGCAGGAACCAGCAGCAGAAGCACCCCGGCCGGGCGGTGAACATGTAGAAGATGTTGCCCCATCGCATGAGCGGGTCTGGGCCCCAAGACCAGAGATATTCCAAGACCATAAAGACCATATGATCGCTATTGTCAAAGCATTGAGAAGGCCGTCCATGCTGGCAATTCCCACATATTCCTACCATGCCAATCCATGTCCCATTTCAAGCCCATTCTACGTGTTGGATCATTTTGGTGTGTGATTGTTGCTTGCAGTGCCCACACCTTGAGGCTGCAGATGCTATACATGCACAAGGCGATGTTGGTGCATCACAGGCCACACAAAGAGACAACATGTTTAGACTGGGTTTGCATTTGAAGAATGTCTGATCTCAATATGTTCGCATGTCTTTGCATCTAATTCGGAGGCATGCCAGCATTCCGGGCAGGTACCATCAGCAGAAGCACCCCGGCCGGGCGGTGAACATGTAGAAGATGTTGCCCCATCGCATGAGCGGGTCTGGGCCCCAAGACCAGAGATATTCCAAGACCATAAAGACCATATGATCGCCATGGTCATAGCATTCAGAAGGCCGTCCATGCTGGCAATTGCTACCATGTCAATCCAACTTTGCGCTTGAGTTTCATGGTCACAGCATCGCCAAGGGAAGCGGGGTCAAATGAGGAGCAATGAAAGGTTTAGCTTAAAAGGCAGTGACCGGTCTCGCTGGGCAGGCTCCGGAGAGACCAGCAGACAGCAACATTGACATCGAAGCAATGGCCTTAGAGGGGTTGAACCGTTGAACCCCTGGCGAACCCGCTGGCTGCGGCGAAAAAATCCTAGACTTTTCTGGGAGGCGTGGTAGTGAAGTGTTTTCCAATGACTTGATCAAGGACAGCAACCAGTTCTACAGCAATGAGAAGTGGAAGGTTGACAGGAACAAGCAGCTCAAGACATGTGCAAAGTGGGCGGCTAGCGGGCGCCCGAGTTTGGCATGGTGGGGGTGTTTGGCAGAATCTGTACGCCGATGATACCTGAAAATTTGCATATATATATAGCCAATTGCTGGGATATATGTATAGTATAATTATATATATATAATTATAATTATTATTTTATAAATAATTATATATGAGCCACCGCCAAAAAAAAACCGGCAATACTAAATATTAGGACGGACATTGGTTTATGGAAATTGATGGAAATTGTTAAAAACACACGGTAAGCGATGGGAGCTTCCCAAATTAGCGATACCCCTTTTCAAGGTTATGTCATTGTATTTCTCTAATATCCACATTAGCGATACCCAAATTGGACGTTGATGTGTGTGAATTATATATATATAAATGTAGCAGTTTCCTGCAAGCGATACCCCCCAAGTTTACCATATCATTATTGTACAAACGTGTGGTAAGCGATGGGACCTTCCCAAATTTGTGGATGTCCTTTCCGTGAACCTAGGGTTTTCGAGATTGCTCATTTATATATATATATATAATATATCTCAAGTCAACTGAGAACCAGATGCACTTCATGAATCCCAAGTGCAGTGGGACCATATTGGACCATCCCAGAATACTCAGACCATCAGAGGGTCTCAAGTCAGGTGAGGAGATTGCAGCTGCAGCCAAACGAGGCATGCTGACTTGGGAGACGGAAATCGCTTAGTGAGGTGATCTGCCAGCAAGTAAGACACCCAAAGTGATGATGACTCGTACCTCGCAATCTAAGCCTCAAACCTTATTTACAACAGATGATCCTCAATTTCCATGGCTAACTTCCGCAAACAGCATCAAACACCCAAATGTATCATGTATCATGGTTCATGTTGATGTATCCAGATCTCCATCTGACTGTTGTAACAACCAACCTGCCATGCTCAAGATCTCCATGTTTGAGCCACTGGCCTCCCCAAGAAACGCCAGGCTTAGCGCTCAACTCCTCCAAGCTGGCAGACCGTGAAGGGCTCAGCCATGCTCAGCAGCAGCCATGGTTACCAGCCATCGTGGTTGCAGGGAACTGGTTATATACAACTTCTATAATGTGGTTAAAACCATGATAAACCATCCCCTAAATAACCATAAATAGGTGGTATGTTTACCATTCCCAGTCATGGGTGGTAAAAATACGGCATTGTTTTACCCACATTAAGCCACTTGCCAAACAGTGGCTTACTTCATGATCACTCAGGGATCGCGTTGAATGCAAAAAGCCAAAGGAACTGATGAGATTTTGGAGAATGACATTTTCTCTTCAATTAATTGCAGTTATATATTATATTATATATGCATATATATATATATATTATATATATATATGATCATCATATAAATTTGTAACTTGGAAGATTTGCATCAAGCTAATGTAACTCAAGCCATTCTGACCTGTGCACAAGGAAGTGCATTGGAGGCTCGCAGGGCACAGACTTGGAGATGATATCTTCCAGAATTCGTTTAAGGGGAAATCTATATATGATAATCTATAGGAAAGACTTGATATTCCGGGAAAAAAGCGTGGTTTCCTGTGGGCTGGCCCTTTCCATCCATTTGATATTTGGAAGAATCGACCTGTTTTCAGCACGGATCCTATAGATTTTCTCCTCACCGACTCAGTGCGGTAGGTGATCCCTATGAGAGCGCTGATGAAGGAATGCAAGTTGATGGGTCCTGGCCTCGATTTGGAGGCCACCATGGCTTTAAAGGTAAAGCATCTAGTGAATGGTACAGATTCTCAAAGCAGCTATGAAAGAACATGTCTGTTGATTGATCTCTCTTTACGTGTTTGTATATATCAATATATATCATATATATATATATAGTAATTATAGATTATAGAAGATACACAATACATAATCTACACATATCTATCAGAATCCACCACTATCATTACCAGCACCTGCTGTTTAAAATCGATGGTGGATGTGCTGAATCTCCATCCATCGCTCCTGCAATTTTCAGCGACGCGACGAGGCCTTGATGTCTCGGGTCTCTACGCCAAGTGCGAGGTCATCAAGAAACTGCTGGCGGAATTGAACCGGGCTGAACCTCGGCAGAGTCACTGAGTCCATTTTGGTCCATGTTTTGTTCACCAAAATCTCAGGGTGTGTGTTGTGATGTGTGGATGATTTGGGGGATATGACCAGCCCTGTAACCCTCAAAGATAGCCATTTCATCATACATTTAAGATGATACATATGTAAATTGTATATATATGTGTGTGTGTGTGTTCGCATAACCAGTGGATGCCTAGGGGTTAAAGCAACAAGAATCGGGGAATATTAATAATTAAAAATGATGATATCAATGATTAGCAAGCAATATTGAACCATCGTTTTAACTCAAAATTTACCCATGGATCTGGGTCGAAGATCAGCTGATATCTAAGGCAGAAGAGCAGCTGCGTTTCAAGATGAAGGTCCTCACAGCTGGGTCAACCTGAAAGGTCTAATGGGAATAAACTTCAGCGGTTTGTGTCTATAGTCTCTAAGAAACATCAAAAAATCGGGTTAAACGGTTAATATATACAGTTGTAATCAGTTATATACATATATATATATATGTATATTAATATATGTGTATACCTACACTGTACACACATAATTATCCATATTTACTGTATCCACACTATACACATTCCATGGCCATTCGAGGAAGCCAAGGAGCCACAATCAGAGTTTCCCAATCGTAAAATGTGTCCAACGGTGGAGTGATTTGGGTTGGAGAACTTAGCATGGATATACCGCAACCCCAAAAAAGCTAGGAGAAGTAAAATACATTCCTAAAATAGTGGTGAATTTATTTATATGGTGTTATATGACGGATTTGGCTGAATTATATCAACCTTATTATAACCTTACTGGCCGGCTGTTGAAATATGTTGTTATTTAGCCAGATGGATAGACCCAAATTGGCTAGTCAAACGTGACGCCCCCGATTTGGTTTGCTATCATTTAGAGTTACTGAAAATAGGACACCAGAATTCCATGTGCAATGGATCATCCTATTTGCATCCGCCATTTTCAGACAGACCATACCGAAAATCCATATTGGATGCTTACTACAAGATCAAGAATTATCATAGCGAGACATATGTTTTAATATTGGTTTGTTTACCTGTTTTGGCTGTTAACAATGTGTTGTTATGCCGAAATTCTGGAAGTGTCACCACATTTTTCCTCCCCCATGCCTCACTAATGCCTGTTGGAGGAGGATACACCGTGCACGAATGAAGAGTTGCGAGGCTCTGAATTGGCCGAATATCACCTGAAATCAACAGACGTGGCAGTCTTCCCATGTTTTCCACCGCTAGGAGTTGATGAGTCGGGCATTGTCCAAGATTTTAAGGGGTCAGTATAGGTTTCTGGTTGGTGGTTTGGAACATGTTTTTTCCCCGTATATTGGGAACAATAATCCCATTTGACTAATATTTTTCAGAGGGGTAGGTCAACCACCAACCAGCTTTTCTCAGTATTCGGAATAAATGCAGGGGAACCGAAACATCCAAAGTTCAACTTCTCCACGTGATCCACGTGGGAGTTTGTTCCGTTCTGCCACTGGGAGGTGATACCCAGATTCCCAAGGATCTCGAGGAGGGAACGGATGTCGACAACTGCTGCGGCGAAACTTCGCAGTTTTTTTCTGTGGAGATTTGAACTTGGGAGCTTTGAGAATCTTTGCATTTTTTTTTGAATGAGATACCCTCTGGTAAGAACATAGCTATGGAAAATCAGCTTTAAACATCATCAAATCAATTGAATTCATTGAGCTAAGTGCACCATAAAAACCCACAAAATCCCATTAGCATGTTAGAATATCCATCAGATCAGTGGCTTCAGGGTCAGGGGATAGATCGTCTCTGGGAATCATAAATGGCTTGCTGGAAAATCCCCAATAGATGAAGGTTTTTTGTGGGAAAATCAACCATCTATGAGGGGAATTCAGATTTTCTGTATGATTCTGTTTTCGTGAAGCCTTCATCCAAAGGGTTTTTTATCCATTGCTATGTTTGAGTACCAAAGCGCAATAGATTCCCTCTTGAAAACTACATATTTATATGTTTTAGTGGTCATGAACATTTTGAGGTTCCATGATGGAAGTCAGGCATGTAACTGGACAACCACAGACTATAGCAGTTAAGTATAGTTAAGCTATATCAAGTTATATCACCAGAAACACTCCAGCAATGTCACATAGCTATGGAAAATAGCTGTGTTTTATAGGTAAACCATCTACAAATGCATCATTTATAGTATAAATGTCCATCATTTAGCGGCCGCCATGGGATGCAGGCAGAGCTTCTTCCCCAGCCAACGGGTCCTCCCATTGCCCTGCACCAAACCCAGCCCGTGGCATGCTTTGAGGGTCGACCTGGCTCCCGGCGAAAAATGGGATGCTGATCCCCCAATAACTTGTTGTTGGGATGGGTTGAGACCAGCAGATGATGTTTGGTGAAAGACACAAAAGGCGAGTGTAGTGAGGACCCAACGGGCCAAGCTGATCCAAATTGGTGGCGAGTTTCGGCCAAGGTGCAAATGGAGACCCAAGAAAGAATAGCTTGACCGACCAAAATTGTCTATGAAGTAGTGGATTGTGAGTGTCCCCTGCGCTCAGAAAAGACCTTGAAGCCTATAGCCTATAGAGTATAAACAAACGTGCTTATAAAACTCTTCCTCTTGCTAAATGTGTTTCACCGTTTTCACCGTTTTCACTGTATTTGAATACATCCTTCCTGTTGGTTTACCCAAGTGATGCGCAAGTATTGATACTAATATGCTAGGTTTGGATGGATATCAATAATCCCAAGAACTTGGAATGGGAGCCATAAATGTGCAGGAAACTCCCGGAGTCGCCGAGGTCTCCATTCCCCAAGGCGGTTCCAGAGCCGGCACGGCCTGTGGATCCTCCGCCGGACCCCTTTGAATTCCTGGGAAACCGAGTGGTGGAGGAGGAGCGCCATGGGCCACCAATGGGCCACCAATGGGCCACCATACTGACATTCAGCTAGGTAGGTAGGATGAAATCTATCTAATCTAATCCAATCTAATCTAATTTAATCTAAGCTATCTATAGATAAATATATAAGCAAATAAATTGCATCACAAACATACATAGCATGTTCTTTTATCAAACAATATCTATCAAACAAATGTGTGCATCCCATCGCACATGTGTATCCCATCCATAGCAGCCAGAGGAGACTACTGCGCAAGATCCGCCCCATGTAGACCTGGAGAGTGACGTTGAAGAAATCGAGCTGGAGGTTGGGTTGGGAAGGTTCGTCTACAATAATCTATCTATATTTATCCATGTGCATATCAGATATAGATGCATATGGCAGTTCTCCATGATTCATGACGTTGGAGAACTCATGTTCCCATGTTTGCTGTGTATCATGGGACAGCGAAACCTCAAGAAAACCGTGATGCTGTGAGGCCAGCCCAGAAGCAACGTCGCCACACCAGGAGGTTAGGAAACCACCAGCTGTAGCACCGGAGGCGCCCTTGTAGGTTTTGTCCAGCAGATTTCTGGCGAAACTAGATGGTGAAGGGCAGATGATTGGTCTGACATATGGGTTCATAATGTCTAGTAGTCCATTTTGATGGGAAAACATTGGACAACTATCAACCCCGGCAAAAAGTGGCTTGTCGGGCATCTAAAATTAGCGTGATCTGGAGGAGTCACCAGTCTATAGGGTATTTGTGCCGGTTGTAGGGTATCACCAGGTGAAAATCCTATGAATCATATGACTCATTCTATGAAGCCAAAATGGTGGGGATTGTTTTTGAAAGGTGATGTAGGTGAAACATTATGCATCATCTTGACATCTTGAGAGTAGGTTATACAGTTATACCCAACTAATTACTCTCTGGTAATTTAACATAACTATGGAAAATCACAATTTTTAATGGGAAAATCCACTATAAATGGCCATTTTCAATCGCCATGTAACAAATTACCAGAGGGTATACCCCATGATTATGCCCCAGCAGCTTGTGCTGATGTCAGGTCATCCAGGAAGAAGTCCCGAGCTGCGGGGCGGACGGGGCGGACGTGGTTCCCGAGGCGGCACCACGACCGCGGGTTCTTTGCTCAGAGGGCGCCACATCGGACCCGCAGCCATGGGGATTAATCTAACAGGTGGTGGATGAAGGAGAATCAGTGGAAAATGGAATATTGGGAAATCCCCTCTCAATGGTGGATTTTTCATTGCTATCATTCCTCAATCAGACCCCACAATGAATAGTTCCAAGACAAACCAGAGTTCCTACGGACGTTCTGCCGGCAAAGCCTGTCACATCCAGAAAGTGTGCTCCCGCCAGTTCCCGAATTTGCAGTACCACTGGACACTCGTAGGGGAGAAAACCTGGGGCAATGGCTTGTTCCAACATGTTCCAAACAATTGCCACCGCTTTCCCTAAGAGTTGGCTTATCTTGGTGAGTTGGGGGATCCATCTTGAGGCCTCTATCTCTGAACTTTTTCGGCTTCCCCTGGAGGATCTGCTGTTGAGGCCAGGCTCAACCCCATGTGAATTTTATGCGGGTGACGGATTGGTATTATCGTGTCGGATATTTGGAGATGAACCCCAATTCTTAATTCTTGGATGCCTTCTCCTGCCAAAATAGGCTGATTTGCTTCCGGGCCGTAAACCTTCAGGCATGCATGCTCTCCTGCATGGCGTTCAAACTGACGTTTTCAGCACGGCACTACCCATCATAAATGCACATTCGGCAGGGTATATATCCACAATACAGGGCCAAACCATGCCAAACCTCCATGAAATCCATCGATCTTCGCAGGTGCGAAGCCGAAGGCATCAACGCACCGATCTCAGGCTAAGCATGTTGAGTCCATGAGTTATGCTGATGATTTGTGTCTCAGGTGGTGCCTGGAGAGTCCAAAGGCATGCTGATTTCAAGGCTGAAGCAAGCCATGTCAGAGACTTAGCTTCAGCTTTTCTGTGATACTTTGGAGATGGCTCCCATGGCGCCGGCCCATCCAAGGCACTGTGTTAGTGGGCACAAACACACCTTGCCCCGCAAATGGTTTGTTTGCAGTAGGGTGCAATAATCCGCAATAATCAAGGTTTATCCGGCATACAAAATCAGTTAAACCTGATGACAAGTGTGAGGATTACTGTACACGTGGTCCATCATACAGGTGACAGTGCGTTGAACCTTAAAAGTTGCACTACCAACAAGGATTTGAGTGGACATATTTGATGAGGATATTTGCCAACCATTCGCCAAGCACGGCCACCTGAGGTCCAGATCCACAGAAGCATCGCGCAGTGTGGAAGAACCAGATCCGCCCGTGCCGCCAGCTGCTGAGACGGACACGGTAGCGGCAGCAGCTACCGCAGTTCCAAGCGCGGGGCCTGTGCCCAGCCTAGGGCCTCAAGTGTTTCACATGGCTTCAGATGAAAGTCAGGATGAAGGTGCTGGGGAAGATTCAGATGGCGACTTTTTCCCTGACTTCCCAGTTCGCAAAGAGCCGGAGGCGTCAGCCAACTTGGAGGAATCGAGCTGGATGGCGCAAGATGTGAAGATGGCGGATGACGCTCAACCACAGACCCAGGCAGCTGGTGAGGAAGAACCGCAGCAGCAGAGGTTTGAGAATAGTGAAGGGGCATCCACATTCTCAGCACAGCCTCCAGTTGCACCAGAGAAGCTGTCCGAACCAGAGCCTGCATCAGCGCAGCCTCGAGCTACCCCTCCAGCATCAGATCCGGACCCAACGTTGTTCACAGATCCTGAGAAGGCCGGTGTGCAGCGAATTTATATTTTTGTATCAGGGATCCGCAGAGCTATGTCAACCCATTCTAGCCTGCCATGAGCCTCGATAGCCCACTATAACCTTGTGAAATTGCCTGATGCCTGCTTTAGCAGCTATACCCAGCTGGCTTATTAGATTTGGAACAAGCTCGGCTCCTTTACAAATACAGAAAATGAACAGAGACTGATAAATTAGATCCTAGCTTTGGGGTTGAACATTCTCCCAGCTATTGGAACTACTTAGTGCCTGTTCGAAACGATTTCTGCATGCTGCAGGATGGTGATCATGGTGCCAGTTCCAGCGAACGTCTTCGCCTTAAGATACAGATAGACACAGTCCATGTTTTGCACATGTCCCACCCACTCAGTACTTATTGATGATAATTGATGTAGGTTGAATATGGGAATCCTGGCGGTGCTGGTGGTGAAATATTTGCTGGTTGTTCAAACATCCAGCACAGAAGGAAGCCGGGGATCCTACAGCCAAGGTGACGGGGGCATGTTCGACTTCGATGATCTCGATGAAGCCGAGGTATTGGGCCATGTTGGTTTGCTATTTTGGACCTTGTATTATGGTATCTATATGCCAAAGTTGGGCACATTCGCAGTGGATGCTTGTGAGGACTGACAAGTAGCAGCAGACATTAGCAGGTTCCATTCACAGTATATTCATCTTGCTGCAGGTGCACGTTACACCCTCCAAGCAGACCAACTCCGATGGCCCCTCCGCCGCGCCCATGGCTGAACCCATCGCCCCTTCCGTCAGCGCCCGTCCCGTGGTGGACCCCGTGGCGGACCCCGTTGTGGAGCCCGCTCCGGCGGCGGAGGGTCCTGAGACCCAGCCAGCCAAGGCAGAAGAGGTGGGAAGCCAAAACGATGACGACGGTGGGATGCTCAATATGCCAGCCATCGTCTCACATATTTAAAGATTTTAAAGCCAATGACTAGACCTCAGGAAGGTTGTGCCAAAAGCGGGCAAGCCGGGTTATGATGTTGCCTGTGAGATGGACTTGCTCGGACTTGCTGCTCATGTCGACTGCCTGTGTCACTGAGGTTTGAAGAATCCACTGCTGCGGTTTACAACCAAGGCAGGGTCGAAAGCTGTGTTGGTATGCCCAACAGATTCGAGGATCGTGGAATGATCTGGCCATAGGGTGCCAGCCTTTGACGGCCTCCTGACAACAATGATTTCCAATGATCGACTTGAGATTGGCTCGGAGATGGTACTCAGCTCTGTGATGAGCTGCATTTCAACCTGAAAAGCTGCTAGTTGGTGGTGATCAAACATGACTTGTTCTTGCAGTGTCTATCACTGACATCCACTGACGTACCTTTGCTGGAAAATCTGCCATGGAGCCACATCAGGGTTTGTATCCCATTTGTTCGTCAAAGATGATATCATATGTTATATCATGATATATCATGATAGTATATCATATCAGTTTTATCCCAGTTCTTGACCTCTCAGCATGGTTGTTTGATGTTGTTTGCATGTCAATGATCGGGATCACCCGCTGCACCATGCGATCGAGATCCATGCCACTTGACCAGGAATTGCTGGAACTCGCTCGGTCCCGGGGGGTTTGGGTCTCAGATGCCTCGGGAATATTCAACAACGGCCAGCTAATGGAACCAACATGAACCAACCATAACTATCCCCCAGGCACATTTGCCCCAATATCAGAAAGTTAGGATTTAGGAGCCAAAGATGCCAGCCACTGCTAGTTTATGCGGTGGTTTATGCCAGTTTACCATGGGGTGCAGCCCCACAAATTCTGAATGGAAAACAAATGCACGCACTGTTTTCCTTCAAACCAGTTGTGTTCTCTTATGAGCCTGGATTTATCTGGATTTGCTTTTATAATTTATGACTTCATATGATTTCTATATGATTTCTATATGATTTCTATGTTGTTTTTCCCGGAGTTGGACCAGATTTTGGAGAATCCAGGTCGATGTGCGCGGCTGCGTTGAAAAGAGCCATGGTCTTGGGATGCCGTTGTGGTCGGTCGGCAGATCACTAAGAGATGGATCGCAACGGGATGGCGTTACTCCTGGACCTTTACCGCGTTTGGACACTGATAATCCATTGATAATCCATTAAGAACTCAGTGATTCGGCTTTGATGACTTTCATTTCAGTAGATAATCCATTGATAATCCATGAAGAACTCTGTAGATTCAATTCTTGAAGTTTCGAATTCAGAATTCCACCAGAAACGTCTGAGGCGACATTGTGGATCGACTCACCCGGCCCCCTCGGGCCAGAGACCAAGCTGGTTATTCTGCGGTATCATGAGCTAAGCCATCGAACTGTCGAAACAAAGAATGGGTATAGTACTACATATGAAAATATGTTTGCCGGTTACTTTGGGGTTCAGCAGGGTACCAGGGTTTTGATCTATAGCCACATGTATTTTTGTCCAATTGGCAGTAGCATGGGGGCTTCCAATGCTTGAGAGTCCTCGTCTCAAACCTCGCTCGAGGCTGGTAGGATAAGTAAAAAACTGAGGACCATGAAGTCGGCAGTCTGACAGGTGTGCATTGATTGATGGAACATCCACCTTTTGTGAACATCCAATTCCAATGTGTTGATTTATACATTTGTGTAAGTTAAGTGCTCAGGGTTGTTCCTTCAACCCTACAAGTTTGGAATAAGTCGGAACGTTCATCCGGTTTTCATAGAGTTGAAGGAGCATTAACATATCAAAAGAGTATAGATGTTGGATAGATTCTGATAATTTCTGATAGATATTGTAGGTTTCCTATGGTTTTCCTATGGTTTTTCTACGGTTTTCCATGGTTTTCTATGGGTTTCCTACCGGTTTTCTGACAGTCCTCGTTTGGACCGTCCTGTCCTCCACTCTTTTTCAAGGCTGCACCACCACCAGTGCCGGCGCGTCCCAGTCGCCCAGCTCCAAGTCGCCCAGGCACCATTGTGAATATCAATCTCTACTAATGTGCTGTATATAAATATTATAAGTGTATCTACTGTAATATATTAATAGTAATATATCAATAGTAATATATTAACAGTAATATATTCATAGTAATATATTAACAGCAATATATATATATTTATACATACATATGTATATATGCATTATCATTATACATATATACATATATATGATATTATATATTATATGCATATCATTGTCAAGTTGTATGTGCTAGTGTGAGAGATCAGAGATCAGTATATTCTGGAGTGTTGCATGGGCTGATGTCAGCCGCGAAGACCAATACAGCTCTAGTGTGTTTGAACACAGAAGGGGAGTGCGCAGTCACAAAACAGATAAACAAGAACATGGTGGTACAGCTTGATGATTCATGATGATCCATGTATATCCATAACATATAATATACATATAGTCATGTAGCCATATCAATATACATCTCCATGTTATAATGGAACTGGTGCAGATACTTAGAGCAACATGTGCATAGAGGCATTCCAGCATCAAAGCCTGCCGCGCCTGGGTGGGAGAGCCCAATGCTGTGATGCTTCCTGTTGAGCCATCAATGAGGTCAAGGTCAATGTCCCCAACACATCAAATGTATTAGATATATACATAAACCATATTTAAGGTATAACATTACAATACATTATTTATGTGTGTGTGTCATGATATAGGTCCGCGCATATATATATATAGAGGTCCCATTGACGAGGAAGATGAAACAGTAGATGCTTCCATTTTTCTCTGACCATCAAGAATCGACAGTGCCGGAACCATGTCCAAGGCCGAGCGAATTTCAATTTCGAACTGCCAACTCGAGTTTTCAGGCCTCGTCTGGGGGTTCAGCGGAGTAACGGAAAACAGACGCATAAGTCTCTTGATCCAAATGGGCCCCGAAGAATCTCCTGGTATGTTGGGATTCTGCGGCTGCCTGCTGAGAACTGAAAAAGATCATGACCTATGATGGTGTAAGGTTTTTTTTTGCGACGAGGAAGACAGCAAGTGCCAACCTGCAGCTCTCCAGTTGATGAAGCACTGTGGGCCATGTTTTTTCCCTCAGGGCACGGCCAAGGCGCCCTCGCGTCCACCTCAGAACTTGATGCCGTTAGTGTGAGGAGCAAAACCTGCAGTGATTTAGGAGGACCCTAGGCAAATTATCCCAAATTGAGGGGTTTTGGCATGTTTTAGTAGGATATTTGTACCATGCACTATGCAGAGGTAGTAATTAGTTGCCCATACCAGCAGACAAGAGGTTTGTGGATCAACGTCGGTACCAGGTGGCTCGGTGGATGAGCTGGGGTTCTTTTGGCTCCAAGTGACTTCAAGCTGGTATGGATTCTTCATGCCGCTCCATTGGGTAGTGATTAAGTCAGACTATGATAGTCGCAGATGCTGCAGGCACCACCAACCAAAAAACACTTTTTGGTTCCAGCTTGATAAGATCACCTCTGATGCTGACATGCCATGCGAAAGTCGGCGCTCAACTTCCATTGAAAGCTGCACTTCCCGTGGTTTATTTTCCCGCCTGGGTGAAGCGGGCCAAGCCGTTTCAGCCCGGCTTGGCCGTTGCTGGTTGCCTCACTGTAGCAGCAGTCCGAAGAATTTTTAGGGCAGGCATTCGCCGCACCAGATACCCGAACGCTACTTCGCTGTTTACGTGCCACATTGTTTTGGGTGAACCATGGAAAATGGGAAGATGATCCATGATTTACCTGCCATTTTCATGTGTTTTCCCTATACTTGAAAGGAACTTTCGATTTTCGGTCATTTGATTGTTTGATGGTTGTCCAATAGTCCAAAACAAGAAAGACAAGTTGGAAACTTGGAAGCTACAGTATGAGATCAACTCAATCTAAGACCATCTATCATTTTGTTCTACGCTATTTGGGGCATTCCTCGTCCTGTTTGGGTTAGGTTCCATCACCCAGGCTGGAATGGTCACCATGGCCGGATATGCGGAAGGGCCGGCAGAGATGGCTGAGCACATCTCCCTGAAGGGCCTAGTGTCGCAATGCGTGGATCTGGCACAACGTGCTGGAGAGCTGATACGAGCAGTCTCTGACAACAAATCGGAATGTGGCATAGGCGCGGCGAATTTGGCTGCTGGAGTGATTTTGATGATGTGTTGGGTCATGTTGGGTCACTTTCATCAAGATCTGTGTATATCATTGTTTGTCGTGTGGATGAACTATAATATCTATAATGACCTCACGTCGTGACGTCACTGGAATGATGGAAAGTAAGGGGAATCACCCCCAAATAAACAAATAAACTATTTTCAGGCTAGTGAATTACTATCTCAATAATTCAGCCAGATAATATGATGATGTGAAATGATCGATTAAAATCCAGCTCAAAACCCCTATTGATGGGGCTCATGGCCCCTGAGTGCTAATCATCCGCCCTTGCCAGGTACGCATGACAAGGGGCTGGGCACTGGTAACTGGGTGGTTTCAGATCACTTCATCCCCCTGTTAAGAGACCCCAAGAAGCCCCCCGCAATGAATAGACGCAATCCTACTGGGTATTTAATGTTAGGGGCAAGCGGTTTTTTTTTCCCCTGAACTGTGTCGTCAACGTGCTTCAAGGTGTTCGACATCTTTCGCTCTTCATATTTTGTTGGACTCAATGGATTGGTTTAAGGGAAGATCTTAACTGGAAACCATCGATTTTCCCATATTTATATGATTTATATGGGCTTTTCCAATTTTCCCACCCAATCCATTGATGGTTACCTGGGTTTTGAAAACCACCAACCTTAGGCAACTTTGATCCACAGACCCTTGCGGATCGGCAAGCCCAGCGGTGTATCGTGGAGAATCTACGGGCCATCTATGGAAGTCAACTGCGTATCGTGGGGGAAGAAGGTGAACTAGGCTTGGAGTCAACAACCCACAGAAATCCACAGAATCAATTCATGACCTTTGTGGCATCATTTTTTGATGTGTTTAAATATAATATACTACATACATATATATATATACATATATATAATATTTACATTTGTATTTGTATATAATTTAAAAACAGAAAGGCCTCTCACTGACTCACCTGAAAGTTTTAAACTTGCAATGTTTATAATGCTTGAAGGATGTTTTGATGGAAACTGTGCCGTTCCCACTTGGCATTTCCTTACCTGAGGTGATTCTGGCTGGCCCGACCACCAGCACTCCGTCAATGCATCATTGTTTCTGAATACAGTATTGTTTCTGAATACAGTAATGTTTCAATTGTTTCACCACCCCTGGAAGGTGGAGGCATCTCAATGTACATAGTAAGATCGTGTAAGATCCATAAAAATGCCATGAGTCATTGACTTCCCATTGGGGTCACACCAGATCTCCAGGTGTTGAGGCCGATGGTGAAGAGATCGTTATCCGCAGGCCCTCAGAGACCTTGTTGGACCAGGAGTGGCCTGGAGACCTGCGCCTTCCCCTGGCGGAGCTCTGCGTTTGGGTGGACCCACTGGATGGCACCAAAGAGTTCACCCAAGGCGCCAAGCAAATCCATACGAAATGGAGCTATTCTAACTGGGTTTGGATCGTAGCTTTTCGGATGTTTAACCAGATGTTTTCAGTATCAATCCGGGAAGATCTATAAATGTTGAGGTATTTCACCAGTGGATAAATAATGAGTCATGAGTTATAGTATCTTACAGTACACTTCCTTAACGACGTTGTCATACCATGAAACAACCAGTGGCGTCAGGTCGCTACGAATATGTGTCCACCCTGATTGGGATCAGCCAAAATGGACATCCCGTGGCTGGAGTGATTTCTGAGCCATACAGTTACTGGGCGACGCCATGTGTCACGGTGTGAAAAGTGGGGCGAACTCAAAAAAAACAGCATGGCACTGGGCGAGAATCTACCAACCTTCTTTGAGTCTGCAAGTTTCCTATTATTAAACCGGGGTTATTCCTACCGTTTCATACTTCCATTCAATTTTCAGAAGGGTTCAAGTCGAGGCTAGGCTTATACCTTGTACGTCATACATATGTATATAGTATTATTAGTAATTAATGAATGACTTGTAACACCCTAGCCTTTTCTGACTTTTACGGCCACACCAGCAAAGCAATAATGTAAACACATCCAAAAGCCAAGGTCAAGGCCAGCCAGGCCCCGGCCGCCTTTTGTGGGGCTGCTGCCTTCGCGACTCCAAGGGCACCGTGCCGGGCGTCCACGTCTTGGGCGACCCCCACTGGCGGCGCCCCACGCGGCCGCCGGGGCGCTGTGTGGCGGTGATCTCACGCTCCCGGGCCTCGGGCGAAGTGGGCGACGCCCTGCAGCGGCTGACGGAACCCGGGACGGCGCCGAAGGAAGGGACCGAAGGACCGGAGGGACGGAAGGTGGAGATGGCGACTGATGATGGACCACTGGGTTTTTTGTTGATGGTTTCTGGATGGAACTGATGATCGATGTTGCCTGATAACTTAAAGATTTTTCAATTATTGGTATTCTTTCAAGATCTTTCAAGTCTGGAGCGGATCGAAACATGTCGAAATTATCGAGCTTTTGGTTAGACAAATAGGTTCCAATGTCGTTTCACGGTGCTATAGTGCCCGAATGCTAGGATGCAAATCTTTCAAACTGCACTAGTCTTGAACGAGTTACGGGCCATTGCCTCACAAAATCTCCCAAGCCCTTCACAGGAGAAGACCTTTCAACACCTGTGGAACTTGGTGATCTTCCCTTGATCACAGGCACCCAGCAAGTCGGAGGTGCCGGACATAAGGTCGCTCGAGTCGTAGATGGTGCAGCTGATTTGTGGCTCTTCCCGAGGGGTGGCACTTCTCGTTGGGATAGCTGTGCAGCTGAAGCCATGCTGGAAGCCTGTGGCGGCGCCTTGAGAAATCGCTTTGGCCAGCGGATTTTCTACGATCCAGATGGCACCATGGAGAACTCCGAAGGAATCTGGTTGGTGTCAGCTATATCAGGTATTCTTTGGCTTTATGATCCCCCAACAAATAATATAGGATGATGGCCCCAGTTCAGGAGGATATCTTTGGGGGATGGGTGGCTCTCGCAACCACGCACAGCAAGAAATAAAATGTTGGACTTCCAGACATATAAAGAAGTAACATGTATAAATATATAATATATAGTATCATGTAATTATAAAAAGAAAACATTGCCATGCTGCCCCTTTTTTGTGAGGAAATCTGAGTTGTAACACATCCTGAAGCAGGAGTCCTGGCAGCTGCCAGTGTTGGCATTCTCTCAGCTGCTGCCCAAGTCTGTGGCACCTTGGATGTGGCCCGTGACCTTCAAGACCGCCCCCTGAGTCGCGAATGGCTGGAAGGGGCCTTGCAGCTGCCTTCAGGGCACCTGAAAGCCTTCACTGTGACCAGCTGTCAGCGGAGCGGCCAATGCTGCGACCTGCGCCTGGCACTGCGCTATGCAGGGGCTCAGGATGGGCTGCCCACCACTCTGAGCTTCAAACGAAGTTGGGAGAAATCGATGGAGCCCAGGATTTTCGAGAAGTTCGGAGATCGGCTGCTTCAAGGGGCTGGGGTCCGTTTGCCACGGGTCTTTTGCAACATGAGTCGCGAGACTGAAGCTGATGGTTCATCAGCCACCTCTATCCTTCTTATGGAGGATTTGTCAGCGGCGCCCTTCAGAAGATGTACTAATTCACTGGATGATTTGAAGCTAGCTACCACAGCCCTGGCGCAGTTTCATGCCGCTACCATGGGAGAGAAAGATTTCCTTGCCGAGCTGTCCAAGGAGGGATTTGTAGCCGAGAATTTGACCCAAGCTGCGCTGGACTCCTGGCAAGAAATCGTTAAGCTTGTGGCAGAAACACCAGAAGAAGCAGCCCGTTGGTCCATCGAAATCGCAGACCTCGTTTCTGGCCTTGCCAGCTGTGCCAAGGCGACAGCAACCCAGCCTGGTTCGGAGGCGTTGTGCTTGATCCATGGCGATTTCAGGAGCGACCACGTCATCATTGAGGGAAAGGAGGTGATATTGATGGCTTTCAGCCATGCCAAAGTTGCCACCCCTGCCCTTGACCTGGCATCTCTGGTGACTTCCTCCCAGTCTTTCGCATCCCTCAACCAGCTGTTGGATCTTTATTGCCAGCTCCTCCCAGCGCAATCCATGGCCGAGCTCCGGCAGAGTGTCAGGCTGGCGTGCCTGCAGCTGGCACTGAAGCCAATGGAGGTGAAGCCCCCGTTGGATTCGCGGAAGCTGAGGCTCTGGGTCGACTTCTTATGGACCCTGCTCAACGAAATGGACGCGCGATGAAAAAAGATGAGCACTGAGCACTGTGCATACGTGAGTAAGTTCAGGCTTCCTGTAGCAAGCAGTCATCAGCCAGTGACAAATCTAGAAGGCCACCCAAGAACATCATATTACCTGCAAAAAAAGCTCTATGATTCGCCAGTTTCATTGGTCATGCGCCCAGGTTTTTGACACCCAAGTTTACCCAAGTTTCGGATTCCCCAAAATGGATTTCCCAGTTCACAGTTCACAGGATCAGTGCTGCTTGTAGCCATTTTGCTCGCATCGTGAACTTGTCGCTTGTTTACCAGATTCGGTTTTCTGTGTGCCATGGTGTCTTTCACAGCCCTTGGCTGTTTCTTGATGCTTGTCGTCAGCGTGGATGCCACACGCATTGGACGGCACGGCGAGGACGGGATTTGATTGGGTGTTGTTGGTGATTTTCAAATCTGGCTTTCATATTAATAAATATGTAGTCTTTTTTGTCGGGCCTTTTGTTCATCCAATTGAATCCACTTGGGAAGAAGATTCCTACTGTCCTACTGACTAGGGAGTGGGGGAGTGGAAGCACCGGGCCTTAAATACGAATAATATGCTGAACATGATCTGAACATGAGCCCGTGTCAAGAGAGCACTGTTCCTTTCGATTGATGCACGATAGGAGCAGGCAGCAGTCTTGCGTCAAAACCAAACCGCCGTGACTGCGGATGATTCCGGTGACTGCAGTGAGTACTGGCTCGTGGACAAAGTCGTGGGCGACGTCAAATTCGGCAAGTGCTGCACCACCAAGTGCAATGGAAAGTCAGACTTCGTGTATGAAGGGACATTCTTCAACTGCAAGGCCGGGACATGTTCTGGGATGTTTTTGTGGTGTCTCATGGTGGGTTATATTCATTCAAGTCGCACGGATGATATTGAGGCCCCGCCCCTACCCCACGAAAGGGATCCATTTTTGGCATGGAAAGTCTGATGCCACCTGGTGGCACAGTAATGTTGATATTTGTTGAATGCAGTATCAGGAATTGCCGAGATGCAAATTGTGGAGAAAATAGTGCCTTGATGTGCCTTGCAACCACAGATTGTTCATCCGTTGCCATTCTCTTCAACCGCTTTCATCCACGGTTTGGTGGTTTCAAATGTGCTCTATTTCCCATTCCTGTCTAAGAGTCTAGGATGATGGTCCCAATTCACTAGTGCTTTTCAAGCAGCACGCATATATCTACGTAGTTTTATATACGTGTGTATATATATATGCACATACAAGTAGATGTATTTACATACAGATGTATATATATATATATGATGCAGCCTCCCAGGTCCACCCCCCCTCCCCCCAATGGGTATGGGTATACAGGAGCTATGTTCCCCGCCCCCCCCTGTAGGTGGGTGGGGGGGTTAGTAGTAGCAGTAGTAGTAGCAGTAGTAGTAGCAGTAGTAGTAGTAGTTGTTGTTGTTGTAGTTAGTCGTAGTGAGTAGTAGTTAGTAGTAGGAATGGGTACGGATATACAAGAGCTATGTTCCCCGCGCCCCCCTGTGGGTGGGTAGGGGGGTGGGGGGGTTAGTAGTAGTTAGTAGTATGTAGTAGTGAGTAGTAGTTAGTAGTAGGAATGGGTACGGATATACAGGAACTATGTTCCCCGTCCCCCCCTGTGGGTGGGTAGGGGGGTAGGGGGGTTAGTAGTAGTTAGTAGTATGTAGTAGTGAGTAGTAGTTAGTAGTAGGAATGGGTATGGATATACAGGAGCTATGTTCCCCGCCCCCCCTGTGGTGTGGTGGGGGCTGTGGTACTGCATGGTACTGCCTTTATATATATATATATAGGCATGTATGTATATATATATACATGTATATATATATATACATGTATATATATATATGTTTTTATATGTATATATATATGTATGAATGTGTACATATATATATATATGTATGTGTACATATATATGTATATATGTGAATATATGTATATATGTGTATATATAAATGTATATTTAAATACGAATATGAATATATATATATATATATACATTTATTTATTATTATTTATTTATTTATTTATTATATATATATGTATGTATCTATGGCATGTAAAAATATATACATATATACATATATATATATATATAGGAAGTAGATGCATAGCACATGTATACATGACTATAGGTAGCACGTAGGTACTTTGAGGGAGGGTAGTCAGAATCGCTGCAAAAACGCTCGACCTCAGAAATGCTTCCAATAGCTTGCAAATAGAAGGGAAGGGGGGGTGCTACCTGGAGACCCATCCCATTCGGGGGGGGGGATCTGGCGGGCGGAAGACGGGATCATATATACCCTGAAAGTCCAAGGTTGATGTTTACCTACGCATTTCACTAATGTCGAAGTTTACCTACGCATTTGTGTAATGTCGATGTTTACTCATCAATGTCGATGCTTACCCTTGAGACATGAGGTGCAGCAAATTTATCAACCTTTTGTACTGCTGCCGGATCTTTATCTTGGACATGCTTCATTAGTCAAACTCATGCGATATCACTTTGAATCACATTTGACACATATTTTCCCAAAGGATTGTGTTTACATATATGTTTTCACTCAACGATACATATATGTTTGCATGAGAGCGGGCGTTTTGCCCTAGAACCCCCCAAACTCAATCTTGTAAACAAAAGACACCATGGGAGAGGTGTTTCAACAAAGGCCAGTCAAGGAATTTGGGTGCGGTGGTCATCCGGATGACCATATTGGTTAAACAAACAAGAAAACACCACAAAAGCACATTATATTCTAGGGGTGGCATGGGGTTGCTCTTTTCCTCGGGTAAACATCGCTTTTCACGGGTAAACACTGCATTTCACGCAAACTAAGGATTTTTTGGGGCTGTTTGGGGGTTTGTTTGGTCCTCCGGTGGCCAAACTGAGTTCCCGATTTCTTTGAGCATTATATATATATATAATTCATATCATATCAATCTGTGACATGAGCTTCTGGGAGCGGCAAATTTCCAAACCGTTTAAGGTCCCATGTTTTGTCCGGGAACTCTGACAGTAAAAATGCAAATACTTGCAAATATTGCTAATTGATTTGTTTCCTGTCCGGAAAATCAATAAACGTAGGATCTTGTAGGTTTCAAATTCAGTTCCAAGGACCCTTACACGTTGGGAAATTGGAATGATGAATATATGTATGATGATTTTGCACTTCATTGCGCTTCCAAGGTCCATAGATTTCTTCACAGGGGTTAAACATCAACATGGCGAATGTCGATGTTTAACCAACCCAAACAACAACATTGTCCGCATAGGAGGTAAACTTCAACATTGACGCCCAGGGTATGTAGAAAAATATATAGTTTTATGTGTAATATCAATATAGTTGCCTTATGTTGTTCTCCTTTTTGCATCATGTGCTGAGTTGTTCATGTGTCAGGTGGAGGAGGGCAAGGTCTACGACAAGAAAAGCAGCTACGACTACCAGTGCAAGGACTCGGATACCTAATGATGTCTCAAGATCTCGTCCAAACTTCATCAAGGATGACTAAAAAAAATAAACAAAACAATATGTGTTTTCCCTCTTGAGCATTAGTTGCTTTCCGTTTTGGGCATTTTTTGGTGGGATTTCTGTGTCCATGCTTTTCTGTTTTTTTTTCCCTGTTTCTCTGCTCTCTGCTTCTTCGCTGTTCTGAATTTCTGCTTTTTGCTTGTTTGCTTATTTTCTTTTCCCTGCTTTTCTGCCTCTTTGCTTTTCTGCTTCTCCACTGTTTTCTGTTTTTTTGCTTCTGCAGGAGACATGCAGTATCAAGGCGGAGGCCCTTGTGCAGTATCCGGACCTATCTTCATTGAATCCTTGGGCGAAGGACAAGAAGAAGAAATCAGAAACCAGGCAGTGCATTGAGTTCCGTTTGAAAGATTTTGAGAGCTAGCGCAGTTAGTATGTTTTCCCCGTAGCTGTTGGGGAAAATTCCACAGAGTTGCGCAATGTTTTGCATGTTTTGGGGTTTCTTCAGCCACATCGCCAACCGAGAAACGCTACGTCACGAAGACCGGGGTCACCGTCATGCGGGGCGGCGGAGAATACGCTTTTGCAGAAAGGGGCTGCACCAGTAAGTCTTGAAAGTGGCGGTGAAGGCTCCTGCGGCCCTGGTTCGGTCCAGCAACTGCGTGTGTTCAAAACGAGATTATCCATGAAATGTTCAGCATGTTTAGCTCAAATTTGCGGCAGTTTGACGCAGCGTGTCCTATTGATCCTTAATCACCTTCGTTTCCTGAGTCCATCCAGCCATAGTTCGTTCATTGGATTTGGTCAGTTGCTGAGGGTTGGACCTGGACCCTGAGACGCCGCCATCCGACGCGCGGCAGCTGAAAAAATGGCGGTGCTTTACTGAGCGCCATGGATGACTGTTGCACATCCCAACCCGGTAACCCCAAAAGGGACAACTAGGTGGATGATGTGGATGAGTCCAAAGCTGACTTGGATACCACAAACATGGTCACGCCCTAAAACTTATCATTTTTTGGAGTTGTTTTGTGTTAAGGGATGGTCTGCGTTTGTTTTCATTATATCCCCGTATCATCAGGTTTTTCATCGTCCAACTTTGGAATTACCAAAAGCATCGATCGATACCTACCAGCATGATGTGGTTTGACGCATTCACATCTGCCGAGTTGTTGGCAAACTATTCCCGTTTATACTTAGGGCATCATGCAGGCTGGCAAGTGCTCCTACCCAATAACAATCATTTTAGTAAATAAGTCCCTCTGAGGAAAGCCATTTTTGATTTGGTAAAGTAGGTTTCGGCCGTCATCAGCCGCTACCCGAAGTCCGTCATGAGTCATCAGACCTGTTGTCGATGGGTCCTCATGTTGCAGTTTGTACTGTCACCGTCACCCTCCCAAAAAAGTTTGACATGTGTACATGATCATTGTGGCAGTTCGAAGTTCACAGTGGTTCCTGCTTGTAGCCATTTTGCTCGCATCGTGAACTTGTCGGTTGTTTACCAGATTCGGTTTTCTGTGTGCCATGGTGTCTTTCACAGCCCTTGGCTGTTTCTTGATGCTTGTCGTCAGCGTGGATGCCACACGCATTGGACGGCACGGCGAGGACCCTGGGATTTGATTGGGTGTTGTTTGGAAGTGAGCTTCCCTTGGCTGATCTTGGCTGGTGATTTTCAAATCTGGCTTTCATATTAATGTGGTCTTTTTTGTCGGGCCTTTTGTTCATCCAATTGAATCCACTTGGGAAGAAGATTCCTACTGTCCTACTGAGTAGGGAGTGGGGCAGTGGAAGCACCGGGCCTTAAATACGAATAATATGCTGAACATGATCTGAACATATCTGAACATGATCTGAACATGAGCCCGTGTCAAGAGAGCACTGTTCCTTTCGATTGATGCACGATAGGAGCAGGCAGCAGTCTTGCGTCAAAACCAAACCGCCGTGACTGCGGATGATTCCGGTGACTGCAGTGAGTACTGGCTCGTGGACAAAGTCGTGGGCGATGTCAAATTCGGCAAGTGCTGCACCACCAAGTGTAATGGAAAGTCAGACTTCGTGTATGAAGGGACATTCTTCGACTGCAAGGCCGGGACATGTTCTGGGATGTTTTTGTGGTGTCTCATGGTGGGTTATATTCATTCAAGTTGCACGGATGATATTGAGGCCCCGCCCCTACCCCACGAAAGGGATCCCTTTTTGGCATGGAAAGTCTGATGCCACCTGGTGGCACACTAATGTTGATATTTGTTGAATGCGGTATCAGGAATTGCCGAGATGCAAATTGTGGAGAAAATAGTGCCTTGCAACCACAGATTGTTCATCCGTTGCCATTCTCTTCAACCGCTTTCTTGACTTTCAAAGGTTTTGTGGTTTCAAAGGTGCTCTATTTCCCATTCCTGTCTAAGAGTCTAGGATGATGATCCCAATTCACTAGTGCTTTTCAAGCATATGTCTACGTAGTTTTATATACGTGTGTATACATATATATATATTATATAATATATACATATGCACATACAAGTAGATGTATTTACATACAGATGTGTATATATATATGATGCAGCCCCCCCTGTTTTTCTTTTGACCTAATGCCTACAGAGGTACATGCATGAGTATTGAGCACATTTATATGCGCCCTCAAGGCTCAAGAGGTATATAGAGGGAGTGATCACTAGTCCTGAAGCAATTCAGTCTGGTCAGCGGCAACGACAAGAACATGAACAAGATCAAGCAGAGAAGGCTGCAGTGGCAGCAGCGATACCAGGAGGTGACCCTCACATTATCGTTCCATGGTCGAATGAACTGGCATTAGAGGCATTCAGACTTTTCAATGCGAATCGTAGACAAGCACAAAGACAGGCATTCCCATTGGGTGAAAATTTGCTAGCATTGATTTTTTGTAAGTCTAGCTGACCTGAGTCAAGATGAAAGAAAGACACTCACAAGTATCATGACACATCGTGGACGAACCCTCGATCAATACAACATACAAGAACTACGTGATCTGTTTTTGGAAATGTTTTGCGCTACCAAAACAGCAGTTGACAATCCAATGATGCAACCCTGTGGCATGGCACAGAGAAGATCTTTCCTCGTACTGGATGAAGGTGAACTAGAAGGAACCGACGGCTATTGGGCCGAAGATGATGAAGACGGCGCAGAAGGATCCCTAGATGCTTTAGAAGATGTTTTCTGGGTTTGTGATGACGCTGACTACACATGGTATCAGAGAAGGTTCCAAGGCAGACAGATCAGACGAGGCAAAGGTAAAGGAAAGAGAAAAGGAAAAGGAAAAGGCAGAGGAGGACGAAGGTTCTTCAGATCAAGGAAAGGAAAAGGCCGAGGGAAAGGAAGAAGAAAAGGCCGCTCACGGCTTGTGCCGACATGTATGAAGGTACTAAAGTGGATGTCCTTTAGCATTTGACACACGGTGCCATTTTGGCTCAAGACCCATCCACTCTACCCAGCATCCTTTTCTCTCCAATACAGCGGAGGGAAATGGATTTCGGGGCACCGCCGGGATCCCAACCCCCTCCGGAGCCGGAGAATCCTCCGAAGGGTTGGCGCACACCGGCAGCGCCGCCTCCTAGTCGCTCGGAGGCTGGGAGAGAGACCCGGGCAAGGGCAGGTGGCGACAGCCGGTCACGCAGCTACTATAAGGACAGCGGCTTCCAGGACCCTTGTGAGGTGCTCCTCGCAACGCTCCCGCGGTCATGTTGGGCCATGTTCAAGACGTGCGATCCCAGACCTGATTGCCGTCACCAAGTCGTTGGGGTCACACCGGGTCTCCAACATTGCCGCTATCTCAAACCTTGCTGCCCAAGCTCCGGCTGCTGTAATGCCTGTTGTAAGCCCTAAGGACAGAGACGCTGGTCGCCCTTCTGGTCGGGAGTGCCAGCGACAAGGCAAACCCCGCTGGCAAAGGAAAAGGAGGAGTGGCTACTTCAAGCGTGTCTTCAGTGCATGGGGATGCCAACAGAAACGACGCCCTTCTTAAAGAAGGCGACACCGCCACCTGGGCGTTCACCCTTGAGGAGGGCGAGGACAACCCAGAGAGCCCGATCCGGGACAAGACGAAGAAGTGAAATTCGAGAAGCCTCCTACACCGCCTCCACCTGGTCCTCCCCCGGAGAAACCGGAGAGGGATAGGAGAAGAAGGCGAGATGCAGATACCCCGCAAAGCATGGCCGCCATGGAAGCGAGAGAAATGCACAAGTACCACAAGGAGTGCAACGAGATCTACAACAAGCTGAAGGGCCTGGGGGTTGAAATGGAGATTCAGCCGCTAGTGGAAGGTAAAACCTTCGACAAGGACAGTGAACTATACCCGTCTGATGACCAGGTTCTTGCACTGGAGATCGGACAGGGAAGAATTGGGCGACGCGGCAAGCCTGGATGCTAGGCTGGGAGTTCTGGAGTTTGTAGAGCACCTCATTCAGAAGCAGGTGGGGTACCTTACACCCCGAAGTTTCTGATACGCGGTAGACATCGGTAGACTACTTTGCGGGCGCGCTCGGGTTTGCAATGAACGGAGGATGCTGGAACCGAGCCAGGCGGCTTGCGCTCAGCTTTGCAAAGTCTCGGGCAGCGCCGACCAGCAGGGCTCCAGGGTTCCTTAAGGCGACCCTAGCGGCGCTGGAGAGGTGCGTAGTCGACAGCTTCCTCCCAAAACCAGCGGGTTGCACGCGGAAAGCTCCACCTGTGCATCCAAGCATCTACAAGATATGACGACCTGCTCAACACGCCCTTGGCAGCCTGTGAGTGGATCAGGCTGTGAGTGGATCAGGAGGCCAGGTGAGACGGCCATCATTTGGATTGAGGTCGAGGGCCCTGAGGGGAAAGAGCCTCGTTGAGGGGAGTGGACCCCGCCAATGACGGCTGGCTGCTGTTGGAGAGCCATGGAGCGACTGGAAGCTGGACGATCACTTAGGAAAGAACTCCAAGGGGGACGCCTTCATCAAGTCGCCTTCACGACTGGAGAGAGACGTGGCCTTGGTGAAGAGCGCAGTCGGGAAGCTTTCCGTGGAAACTAGGGACATTGGCATGTCCAAAGAAGAGATAGAAGTGTTGAGGTGGCACGGTGCTAAGGCAACTTTGTCCAGTGTCATGCAACACCTGAATCTCCCCAAACGAGTGGTTCGATGGCAAGGCAATTGGAAAAGCCAGGCCGAGACAATGCCGGACACTTACCTGAGAGAGTCCCAGGTGATCTCGTGCGTCTGGACCGAGAGAAGGATGCAGACCGGCGCGCTAGAGCCATGGCGACGAGCTTCATGCTGGAGCGGACCCCACCAAGGTCGCCAAGGACTTCCTGGACGACTGCTTCAAGGATGGCAAGATACCTCGTGATGCCTTGTGGAGAAGGAGGCGACAAGCTCGGTAAGGACGAAGGGCTTGGAGCGTTACCTGGAGACGGAAGAGCAAGATTCGTCAGGATACGATCCCACTAGCACTGCCTCCGAAGGAGAGGTTGCAAAAGCCAAGAAGGAGCAGGGCATTGGCACACTGGCCGATCCACAAGAGGCTCTCGACAAGGCTGACTCAGAAGGGCTCACTCTTTACTGGGTGCAAGCCAAGGTGGCCGGAGCAAAGCCGAAGGTGCATTTGCCTTCTGCAGCCAGCTTGGAGGTCTTCCCAGTGGTTGCTGCAGTCCCAAAGTGCGGGGCATCTGGGACCTTCGAGTTGATGAAAGCGGAGGACCCCCTGGACCCGGCGACGAGACTCTGCAAGAGGTGCAGTCCGTGCACTGAGGGGCTTTGTGGGGAAATTTGTAACCATATGTTTTTGAATAAGAATATGACTATTTCTAGGTGTTTCCGTAGGTGTGAATGCGCCAAGAAGGATCATACTGATCATTTCTGCGGCTTCCACACCGAGCGCCCCAAGCGGGA